TTAAAGTTTATAATAAATCAAGACAAAATATCTATTTAAACAATACAGGCTTGTTTACCATAAACATCCCACCGTTACATGAATTTATCTACTAACACATTAATGTATTAAAAGTAATACATTCACATAAAATCACCTGCAACAGCTAAGCTGTTTCTCTGTACATCTGGTGTAAAACAAATTCCCACATGTAATCATGGGTAATTAAAAGTATACAAAAGAATCATTAGTACAGTTGACCGAGCAATGGTATGAAAACACTTTACCATGAGACGTTAAGCATGAGCAGGTGTTCCAAATCAACACTGTAATAGTGTAATAAATACAACTATTCCATCATCATCATCGTCTCAACCATCACCAATCCACGACTGAACACAGGCAATTCCCCATAGACTGCCAATAGGAACGGCCCCAAACTCCTGCACCCACCGAGTCCCCATAATACACATAAAACAGTCACTCCAACCAATGGAGGCAGCCCTCACCACACTTGCATATACAGAGTCGCCACTCAATAACCCCTCTGTCTCATCAATGGTTGTTTCCCCAGCAATGAGACCAGACCACAGCCACCTCAGTCTATTTATCCTCAATAAATAAATAATTTATAGTAACTAGATATGAATTTAGTTAGTATTATAATAGTTTTATAGTTGATTCAATAAGTATTTGCCAAAACTGGACAATTAGAATATTGAGTCAAATCGATGAATTTCTATCAAACAGCCATATAATTGAATTTTGTATATGAGTAGAATAACGTAAGTATGTATTATTATTACGTAAATTATATTGATGTAGATCTTTGTTCAAATGTGATTGCATTTAACTATATACGCATTACCTAAAGGTATATGGACTCGATTAAATACGTATTTTAATAGTTGTTGGGAAAAATATTAAGTATAAACTTTGCCTGTGATCACAGTCAAAAATCTAACTACGTAGTAATAAATGGAACAAGCTCACCGGATTCTTTTTTTTTTTTCTTTTTTTTTTTTTTTTTTTTTTTTTGCGCAATTCCTAAAAAGCGACTCCCGCGCGCCCGCCGATCTGCCGTCCCTTTCTTTTTTTTTTTTTGTTTTCTTTCTCTTCATCTAGTAACGTCATAGATTATCTCACCGAAGGGTAGATATTTCAATAATCAGATTTAGCCCATTATTCGAACTGAACTTTTCTTCAAATTCAATTTAATTATATGTTAATGTATTTTGGTATTTTCTATTAAATTGATTATCGAATTTATAAAACTTTAAAGACTCTCATAAACCTTATTAAACTGTGATGTATGCATCCTTTTTACACCTGATGATAAAAGGTAAACTATAATTTGGTTATATATAAGATATAATATATTTTTGTTTAATTTATTTAATTTTCTTGGGACATCCACTACACTTTGAAAACACATCAAAGGAGTTTCCCTTCTGTGTCAATATTTCATATATGGTAACGTCTTCTCTGTACGCTATTGTGAACCTTGACTTTAAAGTTTGTTTATATTAAATAGCTCAGCTTTCGCAGCGGTCACCCATAGGAACCCCTGTTTCTTTTCTATGTACTTATGGTATTAAACCTATTGTACTATAGGCGAACCGTCACAGTGCGTCCAGTGTAGTGGTACTACGACTGGTTAGATCACTAGCTTCAGCATGGCGTAGAAGGTATGAGTTCAACCATCATTTTAAAATTTTTAATTACTTAATATTTATTTATTTCTTATTGCATTCCATAATATAATTAGTAGATAACTTTTCAATTATGGACCTTGTTGGGCTCAGCAAGTAGGAGGACAACACTTTTTTCACTTTGGAAATAGTCTAAGGATCTGTTACAATATTATCCAGTCATTGAAATTGTATCACGATAGGTACGTATTTTCTTATTATTATTATTCATTATTTAAGTATTGGTGTGTATCTATTCATATCGTAATTGTTATTAGTATTATATAGTTATTTAATATATTCTGTAGTTTATAATTATCCCCCCAATGGTAAACCGTTATAAGGAATGGTACCGTTCCTTATAACAGTCTATGGAGGAGACCTATGTTCAGCAGTGAACAGCTAACAGCTGATATAATGATGATGATCATGATAATAGTTATTGAAATATAATTTTTCTATATTGGCCGTGTGGTCCCGGCATAGAACAGACCACCCTTCCTTTCCCGTGGGTATCGTAAGAATCAACTAAGGGAGGGCGAGGGATGGGCAGCAGCGTCCCTCTTAAAACATCTCTAAAGCCTAACTGCGGTTGCCAATCCGCCTGCCAAGCGTGGCGACTACTGGCAAAATCCCCCAAAGGGGAGGCTTATGTTCAGCATCGGACGGTTAAGGGCTGATATGATGCATAATATATCTTTATGTATTAACCTAAATTAAACCAAATATAAATAAGTATACATATAACACCATTATCATATGTATATATAAAGGTATTTTTTTGCATTACCTAACTCTATTAATACCACGCATATGATATAATTTTGTAATTCTTGATTGAACCCTTAAGGCATCAAAACATAACAAACGCACTTTCACATATATAAGGAGTTGATATATAAGTAATATAAAATTTAAACAAATATGAAACTATTAAATAGCTAATATTATATATACAATAAACGTATTAAATCATACTGCATAAACCCTTATAATTGGTTTTAAATAAATAATATACCTAATAACCTTTTATGTCGTGCCTGTCGTTATTCTGGGTGGGATTAGAATGATTATCCTTGAAGTTATGACAGCCTATTATTGAGCCATCATTTCACGGTGAAACGGTTAATATTAACGGCTCTGTTAGCAGCTATTAAACGTTGATACCTCATCCTATAGACAGTTTAATAAGTTTATAATATTATTTACTTCATTTCCAGACTATTTTCCTTTTTATACATAAGATAGTATTATATATAAGATAGTACTTTTTATACATAAGTTTATTTATAGTATAGACTTAATTAACAAGACTAGTTGTTGTCGTAAGGCATTCAAATAATTGAATATAGGAAAAATTACTTTTTTAATTATTAGATTTCATATGGTTCTAGCACAAAATAGGCCACCCACTCTCGTGGGTGTCGTAAGAAGCGACTAAGGGAGAGCGAGGGATGGGCAGCAGCGTCTCTCTTAAACATCTCTCAAGCCTAACTGCGGTTGCCAACCCCCCGTCAAACGTAGTAACTACTGGCAAAACCCCCCAAGGGGAAGGCTTATGTTCAGCAGTGGACAGTTAAAGGTTGAGATGACGATGATGATTAGCTCTAGAAAGATAACTTACCTCGTCCGCGTACACGTATTTGTTCAAATTTATAATAAAAAAAACTTATCAATCACAATCAATATTTAAGAGATTATATACACATTTTAGTACTTACGAATATAACTACAAAGTTTTTTGATCGCGGTTGACAATATAAATAATCCCGAATCCGTATAAAGTCCAGATAATCGAGTCTCCACGTAATAAAATTCTTGTTAAATGTTTTTTTAAAAGGATGTAAATAAAAATGCTGGGTTTGGTAAATGGTATAAAACGATAAGGCAACAGTGGAAGACGAAACGATGAGGATGTAGTTACGTCAGTACTCGTGGTGAATGTAAAAGGAAATATTCCGGATGGTTTCCAACAAGAACCGGGTGAAGGTCGACCTGACAACATGCAATCCTATGTTCCTACTTATTTATTTTATCCATACCACTAGTACACGTGTACGAGTGTCACAAAATTCTAGATCACTGTCCGTTTATATATGAAAGCCTCTGAGTAGGCTTACCAAAACATTAGGTTTTTCTTTAAATAACTGATAATGGAATGGTAATCTCGCCTACGCTGATGGGGAACCAGTAAAAGATGATAGGTGAGGATGAAAGCAAGTCAATTAGCCCATCCTGACGAACTGCACAAGAATTAGCCATAATGGTGTCCAGGAGGAACTGTATAGAGATCGACCTGATAAGACATGTTGTCCCAAATTATTGGTTTACTTGTTTACCAAACTATGAATCAATTAACAATAATTTTAAAATGAAACATTAATTTGAAAGTTCAAAGGTCAGCCTAAATCCCTAAATGTTTGGCTTCGATCTTGATATCTTCGAACTAATCTATCTATACCATTACGTATTTAGACAAGTCAAAGGTTTTCGAGAGACTTAAAATCACTTGCTAACTTTATACACGGAGGCCCAAGTGGAATTTAAAATTCTCAGTTTATTTCGAATCCTCCGACTGCCGGGACTAGTGTAATAGCATAGTGGATCTTAATACTGCGACTACTCAGTATTACCTACTCTAGGGAATAGAAATCTAAATAACCTGTTTTATTATACTTGGCTTATTTAATAAAGTGTCCTTTTTTCAAAATTCGTTATCCTGCTAATAAAAACTGCAATAAATATGACTATACTCGTAATCTAATAGTGTAAACACAGGCAGTTGATAAACTACCCGAGTCTCATCGAGCATGTTAAAATCTACTTGCACGGACGAGTCTACCGCTATCTTTCAAGTTAATGTTCCTAATAATATAAATATATTGTATATATTGGCCATTAACAGATATATATAATATCGAAAAGGAGAAACCACTCGCAATGAATATAAATATCCGACTGATATAGGCGATACAGTAGTCGTCAATGTCCAAAAGAACTTAATATGTAGATATCTGATATCAGCTAGTTGTAGTTGTCTCTAGTTGTAACTTCTATTCTTTATATACTATATGAAAACGCTTAAATGGCTGAATAGATTTAAATGATAAAGTTTGCATATAGATTGATTTATCAATTTATTATGATATCCTACTTATTAATTCCGGTCTGTTAACTGCGTTTCCCGATACCAAAGTAATAATTGGAAATATAAATTAGTACAAAGTTTTTAGTATTAATCAGATTATAACTTAAGATATATATGTATACCTAAATAATATTTCATTGCTAAAGATATCCTCTACTGATTACTCAATAATTTTTCTATAGGGCGCCGCTCCACTTCTGGTACCCTACCTGGCAGAAACAGGCCACATTTGTCCCACTACTCATAATCCGGCTGACTACGTACTGGAGACACTGCTTGGAGAAGACGAGGCACCAGCCCAGCTGTCAGAACTGTGCCAGAACGGGAAACTATGTCGGAAACAAGATCGAATGACAACTCGCGGTGGAAAGTGAGTATACCTTATTTCATGACACTTAGAATGACAAGCAAGCTGGCGGCCCATCTGATGTAAAGTGGTACCCATCGCCTATAGATATGTACAACAACAAAATCGACATGGAAAAATAAAAATATAATAGCATGATAATGTATGCTTAAAGTACCACTCATGCGTTGCTATTCCTGTGAACTAAGATGTTATTCTCTCTCTGTGCCCTGTAATTTCACTGGCATATTCACCTATAGACCCTCCCTTCAAATTAATACAGTCAGCTCGCAATATCACCTGTTAGGTCGATTACCTCTTAATACCCCCTGGAAATCATCATGTTGAGGGGAATGGGATTGTTAATAATGAGATCTAACTGACCCATTGCTAGCAATACTCCCTATCAGGTCGCCTTCCACGCGGTTCCACCTGGAAACCATCGTGGTTAATTCTAATGGAATTCGTGACGATGGGTTAACTGACCTGCTTTCATCGTCACTTATCAACCCTCACTGATGCCCTACCACTGTATACCAATAGCGCGGGCGGGGATACCATTCCATTATCACCTATTAAAAAACTATCGTGTTGAATTCCAGATATATTCATCACGACGAACTGACCTGCATTTACATTTTCACTTGTCATCCTTTACTGGTGGCCAGCGTATACCGTTAGCACAAGCAAGATTACCAGTCCATTATCATCTCTTAAAATACCTTAGTCCGAAAGGTTCATGGCTACTATATGGGACAGTGCTGGTAGAAAGCCGGTCTAATTCCTTGCTATCAAGTATATTGAAGCCTAAATCAATCATACTCGTATATGGTAAAAAAACACCTTAGTCCTCAGAAATAACGACGCATGATGAGCTGATACAAATCTTTTACATTATGATTAATATAAACAATCTATGCTGCGGTTCACATAATTTATATAGCCTGTGCACCATTCCAAGCATCATAAAATAAAATTCTCACACTAAAAATATTACATAATAAATGCACACACTTTACAAAATTATGCAGTGAAAATAAATGTTATAAGAATTAAAATTCGCTCAGGTTTTAGCTGAGCAAACTTTTAGCTGCCCAGAGTTACTTGCTTTAAATTTTCACTTAATGTTCCAGGAAGCCCGTATTACACTCCGACGAGTCCATACAAAGGATATTCGTTGAACACGTTGCTAAAGAGCAGATGCAAAAAATGGAATTTCCCACTACCTTCCTTAATCAGTTTCTTATTTTAACTAAAAGAATGTTCATACAAACGAAGAGGAATTCGGTGAGTTATATATTTATTATGTTTTTGTTTCTCAATACAACATAAAGGCAAACAAAGATAGCTAAACCACACAGCTAATTCTTCGATATTATAATTCAAAATGTTATTGTAAATAAGGCTTTCAAACTTATTATATATACTAACTAACCAGGACCGCAGATACTGTGCTTAATCTATGAAGCTGACCCAACAAATATCGTTTTGTCAAAAGCTATTTGATGTGTTCAGCATCATTACTTGATTGGAATGTTTGAATTGGATACTAGAAACAGTTTGTAGGGAAAAAAGTAAAATTATTTCGTTTTTCGAAGAATTTTTCTCTACACAAAAACCTTCCTCGAACTTCAGCGTATACGAAAAAGAAGTTTAGGGTATTTCTCTGATTTGGTGCAAATTTAACGAAATCAAGAGAAAAAAATAAATAGTTTCTTTTCGATATTCATATGAAAATACATAAAAAGTATACTCTATTCATACAATCCGTATGAAATTATACCCTATATTTATGAAGATATCGATCGATGAAGTTTTTACTGTGGTAGGTAATGAGAACATGGTTTCATCACAAATCAAAAGTCGGTGTTTTTATGGGATACAATTTTTAATTATGGATTACATGTCTTTCGGGATCATTTTTAAATCTCTCATGTTTTTTTTTCTTTTATGTAGTCTCTCTTGAGCTAGTTTTTCTTTAGGTGGCATTTTAGTTTTCGTTATAGCCATATTGGCACCTGAATTAGAAACAGGTTCGTTACTATTTATTATAACCCTGTATATTATTAACACAATTTGAATGAAAAACAAATATAACCACTTGGTTTAAAGTAACTATTTTATCCTAAAAATGGTTCTATTGCTACTGTGTAACTGAAGGAAATCGATGGTAATGAAACTGAGAGTAATTAATTATTTTAACTCTTTTTTAAATTATTCATCCTACAGTCACGAATTAAATATACATTAAATTAGAAGATACAAATTACGCTTACGTCACTATTTAAACAAATTTAAAACAATGGAAATTACATACATCAACCATCCACTGAATGTAATGAAAACATATCGGACCACAATGAATTTATTATATTGTAAATAATTTATAGATATTTGACGACAGATTTGTCTACTGCTGCTTCAACTACTTAGTTTGAGACATGATGATGTTGTTATTATTATTTATAATACTGTATATCCCTAGAATTGGTTGAGAAAAAATATTAAATCTACCTTTAGCGTCATACATACATATATACCTATACTATAAATTGTTAATAGATATTAAATACCTAAACAAATAACCAAAATACGGAATTTCATTAATTCTTATTCTTCGAAATCGACTAATATCTTTACCTATTACACTATAATACTAAAATAAAATTAGTATACCTATACGTGAGAAATAATTTAGATAACAAAAAATATTACGATATAAGTAAATAGGTACTAATACTATGTAATTGCTATTTTTTATTTATAAATGTATGAGTATAATACATAATATGTATACTGTATTAACGAAATCTATTCTTTAGTGTTAGTATTTCTTAGTAGGGCCTCGAATAAAATATTTTTTCTTGGGTAAAATTTTTATATTACCAAAGACGCGGGATAAAGCTAGTCACCTACAAGAATAAAAGTATTTACGTACATTGCAGCGAAAACTACCTACCTATAAGTTTTTAAAAATATTTATAGGAATAAATGAATAGTATCTATGTATTGAACAAACATATTGTATGATCTATCATTTTCAATAAGTTTCTTTAAATTTAGTGTAATATATGTATTTATTGATATATGTTTTAATATAGGATGTAGCCGTCACTTTCGCGGCGGCTCCGAGTCTGAGACCGGAATCTCGCGCCACTTGTGGCGCGTCTCTTATAAAAAAATATAGGATGTAAAAATAATTATATCTTATCATTCCAGGTAACTCTGTGGATCCAACTGATGCATCATTTAATAACGGCACTTCTTCTCGGCAGTATATTCTACCATGTGGGGAATGATGCAAATGCGCCAATAGTCAATTTCAAATTCTGTTTGAGCTGCCTTGTATTTTTCATGTATACCTACATCATGCTGCCTGTTTTATTGTGTAAGTTTTTTATACAACTTAGAATAGCAACCTATTAGAGTTGGCCTTAGTATCTGGCGCCCCTGATCTTTAAAAACTCTTTTTCTTCTTGCAACACAACCCCGTGTTTCAGTCAATGACACCAACAGAGAGTTCGATGCGACCCCTTCATTTTTACGTAGCTCCTGGATGTCGACGTTTCCGCACGCCATTCGACGTATTACCTGCATTTTATAACCAAGCCACTCCAGAAATTATAAATTACGTGTGATTGTAATGCGAGATGCATTGAAGACACATCAGATACAGCGGCATCCAAATTAATCACGATGATGATGATATCAGCCGTTAACTGTCTACTGCTGAACATAGGCCTCCCCCTATTGAGAAGTTTTGCCAGTAGTTGCCATATTTGGCAACCGCAGCCAGACTGGTTATTTTTTTATGCAACTTAAAATGGCAAACAAGCTAACAACCCACCTGATGGATAATAGTAACCGTCGCTTATAGACATGAACAGTATCATGAACATGTCAGAGTGTACTATTTCGCCCATGATACCACCAATGCGTTGGCATTCCTGATAACTAAGGTATTATACCTATGTACCCTGTAAATTTACTCCTATATATACATACCCATCCTTCAAATCAAAACACAGCCATACAAATATAACTGCTTCACGGTAGGACCACAAATGACACAAAGGTACCCAAGCAAACGACTTTTGTACAAAGTCTTCCTTTGGTGATGCTTTAAAAGGGATAATGTTGCCCATCTCTCAACCATTAAGTTCCCTCTGTCGCTTCTTACGATACCTATGTTAAAGCAAGGGATGGCTTATTTTATACTGGGATCATACGGCCATCATAATTAATATTATGATTCATATGGCTTTTTTAACTCCCGACAAAGCAATTTACTTTCACTGTACTTAAAATGTTTCTATTGCATAGATGTGTAATTGTCTACTTCCAGTTCCGATGGAGGTGCGTTTGTTACGGCGGGAATACTTCAACCGATGGTACAGCCTGAAAGCGTACTACGCAGCGCTTACCTTTTCAACATTACCTGTCATGGTGAGCTATAAATTATAAATAAATCAAAACGCATTGATAATGTAACCCTCGTAATGTATTCTTTTCAAACAAACAAGCTGACGGTTCACCTTTTAAATTTTTTAAAAGTGTCGTGGTCATGGCCGTAGCTAGGAGAAAGGGAGTCATTGAGGAGCAATGCCCTACCTTAAACTAAAAGGCCCCAAGAAAATTAGACAGATTCGTTTTTTCAAAGTCACTTAATTATGGTTTTTGCCCTACCAAAAAGTTCTTTTGTCCTAACTTAAAGCTGAGTACAGCTACAGTCCTGGACGTGATCCAATGTCGTACTATACTACGTCGAGTTATAATCACAAAAAATTTCATTTTCAACGATCTCCCCGGTGATAGACAATACCGCTAACATACCGCATTGATTCGAGGGGCGGCGATAGGCTCACCCATCGCCATGTTGGATCATATAGAGTTGTACCTAGGACAGTTTTCGTGAAAAATATTTTTTCTGTAATTTGACGTATTGGAAATAAACAAAATTTTTACATATTTTGAATGTTGTATGTTATTTTAGTATCTATCAGTAAAATATCATTAATAAATAATTTATACTTACATGTGTTTAAGAAGTTTGAAAAAATCGTAAATAAGGCCAAGGTACATAACAACGTACTCTATGTACCTCGGCTAGTACCATGTTGTACCTAGAACACGTTAAGGATTTGAGGATAAAACATAGGTATTTAAGAAAACTGTTAATTTTTCTTATAAAAATTGTTTCATTAGGCCTTGTAAAATATGTAAATTGAAAATTCTTAAAGGAATAAACATCTAACTTTTTGTTACTCGTTTAATCATAACTTTTAGCACATGATAGGCATTAAGACTATAAGGTACATAGACGTAGATAAATTAAAATATAAAATTTTTAAACGTTTTAGTTTTTTATTTAATGACATTTATCGAGTACATATTTATATCCTCTCTATCAGGCTATTTCTAGTTTTTGAAAGACTTATTTATCGATCCCACCAGTATTTTTCCCAAAAAATGCACCAAAGGCAAAATAATATAACAGGAACATTTGAAACGCGCTAAGTGGCTTAGGCAAAATTACGTTTACCACTACATTAACAGTCGGTAGATATCTTTGACTGGGGTGGAAAGAATTGTTAGTAATTAAAACTATCAATCTTATTGCTAGCATTATTACCTGTCAGATCGACCTCCTCGCGGCCCCCACTGGAAGCCAAAGTGCTTAATTCCAGGAGTATTCATCACAATGGACTAACTGATCTGCATTTTCATTCCTACTATTCATCTTTCACTGGTTCTTTCGCCAACGTATACTGGCAACACAGGGGTTGTATTCCCAAAAATGAGATCTCCATTAGGAAATATATTTATATATATAATATGTAGTTGTTGTGAACATATCTTAATATATTTTATATCTTTATTTCAGATAATTTTATGTTTGCTATTCGTTACCATTTGCTACATAATGTCTGGCCAGCTATTGGAGTGGAACAGATTCGTGTTGTTCTTTATAATTGGAATAATGACAGCAATATGCTCTGAAGGACTCGGCCTTGCTGTCGGCTCTGCATTTAGTGTGACTGTAAGTAATAGCATAGAACATAGACTAGGTACAATAGTATTGTAATAGTTTGACCTAGTCCTACATTTCTTTAGTCACGGAATAAAATTCCCATCAAAAATTAACGATTACTTGACGTTTCGTTGATGATGATGATGATTATTATTATGATAATGAATTGTCATTAAAGACCCACTATAGGTAGATAAATGGATGAATTAATACAATATTATTTCTTGAAATCTTTATTATATTGTTTCAGAACGGCTCTATAGTCGGTCCAGCGACGGCAGCACCACTTCTAGCATTATGCTGTTATGGCATGGGCTTTGGTCCATACATAGAGACCTCTATGAAATTTCTCATGTCTGCATCCTATCTCAGATATGGCTTATCAGGTTTTTCGATAGCACTGTACCAAAACAGAGGGCCAATGGAGTGCAATGTTGAGTTTTGTCTATACAATAATCCTAAACTCATCCTTCGCGATGTCGGAATGGCGAATGACAACTATGGCTTTCAAATATTAGGATTATTAGTATTCACAGCGATACATAGATCGTTAGCGTATTTCGCTTTACGGCATCGACTTACAGCTGAAGCCTCGAATAAATTTATAGCGTACATAAGTAAATTTTTAAAACATAGATAATGATTGTAATAGCATGCTGTTAGTGTTTGTTATTGATAAATTATATTTAAGTAGATCTAATTCAAAAGTTTATTGTCATAAAATACCAATGATACATAATTACCAGAGGGAGACTTTGTACAAAGGTTGTTTGTTTGGGCACTTCTGCCTCATTCGTGTTTCTACCGTGAAACAGGTGTGTTTGCATGGCTGTGTTTCGGTTTGAAGGGTGAGATATGGCAGTGAATTTACAGGGTACATAGAAATAACACCTGAGTCCTCAGAAATGGCAATGCATGGGGAGTATTATGGGCGAAACAGTATATGTTATGTCCATAGTACTGCTCATTCCTATAGGCGACGATTACCACTTTCCATCAGGTGGTCCGTCAGTTTATTTGCCATTCTAAGTTGCATAAAAAAATAGTTTTATTTTTTATGCGTTAATGTTTTTCGAATTTATGGTAAGCAATGTTAAAATGTTGAATACTTATTTTTAAATTGAAGAAATTACTATGTACTTAATAAACTATTACTGAAACCTATTTTACTGTTTCGAGGAAGTAGCAAACATGCCGACAGCCCGCCTGATGAAACGTGGTCCCATCATTTGTAAACAATATATTAGCACCATAAATCACGGTCATACAAGTAAATAAATGATACATATCATGTGTACCATTCCTGAGGGCTAAACTTGATTATATCAGAAATCTCTCTGGATAATCAGGACTTTCTTGCCATTTAGACTAAAACTAGCAACGCATATATTGTTACTTTATCTCAGGAAGAAATAAGACGACGGCACGTCACTTACCAGAACTCTATGGATTTTAGATTATATAGATAGAGCATCGAACCTCAAAAACGCGTCAGTTAATTAGCTGTATCTATATTTAATTATTTAATAAATAAAATGAGTTTGTGCGCATTAAAAAATTGCAAAATTTATAAGATAAAATAAATATAGAATTTATAAAGGAATCACTCATTATCACACAAAATTGTAGGAAAATATTGACCCGCTTTGCTAGAAACATTTATATGGAGACACTCCATCTACATAATCTAAGCCTATAGCCTATGTATATTGGTTATGGTTAAAAATATCATATTTTTATTGGATACATTTTTAATTTAGAAAAAGTTTTAGTTTGTATTCTGTAACGGCCATTAGATACAGATCACAAGTTTTATTATAAGTAAATAATTACAGTTATTCTCCAAAATTAAATTTGTACTATTTTTAGAATTCGTATTCTTACTAAAAATACGAGTTCTACAAATTCAATGCACGCCTTAGGGAGTCAGAGGATACTAGGAAATTTTATATGTTATTTATCTTTTTTTAGTTTACTATAACAGACAGGGTTTTTGAAAAATTTAAGTACAGAATCAAATTGTTTTTATTGGACGATTAGTTCGCGCTTAGTCTTACCTCACATATGAAAAGTAAGAGCAAGACTTAAAAATGGAACAAGTTTACACCTAAGATAACTAGAATTACATAAAAAAAAATCAGAAAACCGAAAAATATATGCAAAAAAATTACCATATGAATTAAACATTTTACACAATTAAAAACGACCTTCCAATCTAATGCAAGAGTCTGACCCTTGTAGCCGTTTATTTACTATTTTTAGGTAGATCTAATTCGAAACATTATTGTCATAAAATAGTTTTTATTTTTTCTTATAAGTTGAAGGGTCAGACACATCCCTGATTAAACTATATTCTGAACAAGATACAAAAAATATTCGATTATTAGACAACAATATTTACATATTTAAACATCACGAATTAAACGACCGCTTCATAGGAACCCATTAATTTCTCTTAGACTGTATAATGTGTAAATATGTAGCTATGAATTATAAAACAATTAACGATCACGGATTTCGCGGAAAAATACCAACTTAAATCGCACACGCAAACTGATATAATGCCGCATTGTTTTAATTGAAATAGTTCCGCGTAATGCTCGTTGTGCCAACAAAATAGTGATATACTGGATTAGCCTTTTTTGGTATTCGAATATTTTGGCTCTGGTTATAATATAATCGAATCCTGGCTCGATTTTGATGACTTGAAACACATAGATATAGGAACGTATTTCACTAAACTTGAATATTTTTTCAAGACTTCTGAAGCTTAATTTTAAAGAAGATAATAGACGTTCCGTTATTCAATAATTTTGTCTTTGGTAATTAAGGAAAAAATAATGAAACCATGAAACAAAAACTTAAAATAAATATGTAACTAGCATTCAAATATCGCTAACAATCCGCATATTCAGTATTCTAGCACTTGAGTAAGTAGCAAGTAGGTATTCGAGTCAGCCGGCCTCGGCACATCACTATACACAACTGGCATTAATTCCTCAAATTAATTATATTAATTATACCAAAGTTCATGTCACATGTCACATCATATTGATGAAATGAACGATTTCTCTGTTTCCCTCAGTCTTCGTACATAAATGTGATTGATACAGACGGCTGAAGTAGGTAAATATGAAGCAGTATGAATCGTTTGTTTAAAAAAATTTTTTTTCATGCGTATAAATAGACTATATATCTTATACCCTATGACCGTAATAAGTCATTAATTATTGAGATAACTGGATAATCGCTTATGTTAATAATCTTCACTGTTACTATGAGGGTAATTAATTAAGTACCTACAATTGACAACCTATATAATTATTATGTGATATATACAACTATAGGTGTATTAGATAAAGTAGCATAGGAATCTATGGTAAGTAACACCTGTTGGAATTTGTACTTTATATTGCAAAACCACCTTTTAATTTCACAATATATTTATTTTAATTATATTTTTACACAAACACTTGCACATTGGACGATTGTTGTAACGGAAGAGAGCGAAGGCAATTTTAGAGTTGCCATAGTATAATATTAAATTTAGTGTTTCCAACAACACCTACATTTTCGTTAACGCATAGAATAGAAGTTAAAACCATCTAACTCAAATCAAATATTTCGGAATAGATTCAAATAGACTTGTTCACAAGCTCTTTTGCAGTGCAGCATACATCAAACAGAAAGATAGCAACACTCCTAAGTCTTGTTCTTATAAGAACACTTAGAAGATCCGAAGGGACTTACGTTTTCGTTACCGCACGCATGTGAAAGAACGAGGTAGATAACTCCATGTTTTATAACATGTAAGAAATGGCGAATATGTTGAAAATTGCTTGATTTAATATCGATTTTTATTAACCCTGTTGTTGCTACCTTTGCTGATGTTTGTACTTCACGAACATTTGTGTAAACATGAGTTATATTGAGTAAAATGAATATCAGGTAAAATTCTTATTTCATATAAAACATTACTTCGGCATTTAATACAATAGTCTGTTTCGATCATTACATACTTATAATATGATACCAAGAGATATATTGAATCTACCTAACACCATACCTTTGTACGTAACGCCAGAACAAACATACAGACAGACAACATTTCTAAAAATTTATGTTTTGGCTATTATTATATATTATATTATTATGACTTATATATTTTTTTTCTTAAATATCACCCATATACAGACATCACCATCATAACATCAGCCATTATCCGTCTACTACTCCCCCATTGACTGCTATAAAGAACGGTCCTGAACCGTCTGCATCCACTGACTACCTGCAATGCATTTGAGATCGTCACTCCATACACTGCATTTACCTCTACAGGGTCGCCGCTCAAGAATCTTTCTTCCCCCTCGATACCGACATCGCCTAGTTACATTATTAAAATATTTTTTATATAAGCACATAAAAGAAGTGATACTAGCCTATATAGGAAATAATTATATATCTATATTCCAATTTGTATTAATATTTAAACTATGTCCTTAGCAGTTTGGAGATTAAGTGAAAATTAATAGTTACCTTAACTTCGAGTGCAAGCGAGTTGTGTATTAATAAAATAGTTTAAATTGTTCCAAACTTCTAATGTAATTAAATTTATGACAAACTAAATAATGTTTAAGTACATTCCCTATCAACGTTCCTCTATTGCTAAACAATGTGGCTATGTACATACATACGTCTATTTCTTAGCTTAATTCTAAACCACGCAACGAAATATGACACGGATTTCATTATAATTTAAACTTTTTTAAGTAGATAAATTGTAATTATTATTATTATTCTTTGTAATTATAAGGGTAATATATATGTATGTGTGTGTATATATATATATTCTTGTAAATTGTATACGTACAAAGTCCGAGTCGCTAGTAAAACAAAATATTTAAAGTAGGTAAGTACTTATTATCTAAAAACGAATGCATTATTTTCTATTGTAGATTAGATATACCTACCTACTAATCTATCTATCCTATAGAGAAATTATCGATTTATCAACACATTCAGCGCACAGCAAAGACTATGATATGATCTCGTTTGTACCATAGCTAATATTTAAAAAAAGAATTTTAAAATAAAAAAAATATAATACAGTAATGTCATACAATATGGTACATACGAGGTGTTGGGGAGTATGACGGATTTCCCAGTATTATGCTGAATACTAAATAAATAATTGTCTTTTAATAATAAATTGCTTTCGTATATTTGATAGAAAATTATAAAAAAAAGAAACAGAAGAACATCAATCAGATAAAATAAAAATATATGACTATTAAAATAAAGAAGGTTGCAATCTTCAACACAAGAGATAAGGAAGATTGTAGTAACAGTGGTTAACAGTTCATTTGCTAAAAAAAAACCGTGGTAGGTCCTACAAGAGACGCCCTTTGAATAGCAAATGCCTGGAGAATACGTCACAATAATCCAAATCTACAATCCCCCATATCCAGCCAGCGCAAACTAAAAACGCGAGCAGGAATACCGCACAATTTTTAATAATTACTAATATCATTATCTAAGTGTATACCTACATAAATATATATTTATCAAAATAGTGACGACTCTTTTGTTTCATATGACAATATTAATAATATGTTTTAATTAACGATATACCTATTTTAAATACTTTTACATATTGCATTGAAAGCGAATTCTTTAAAATTTTTGTCTCAATTTGAAAATGGACAGTAATAACCGTAGAAAGTAGAACACTTTTCTCTTTTAAGTTAATCGCATTTAGGACCATATTGGGGTCGATTCTGAGTCGCAATTTCTCTAAAACCTATCTCTAAAATAAAAATTTCAATTTAACACCACAGCAAAATCTTTATTCTAAGACCAATATAAACTATATTTTTAATATATTTAAATCTATATTGTTATAAATTCATTTTGTGATACTTAACAGTAATTTAGCGAAAAAATAATTGGGTACAAGATAAGTTTAGAGAAATGATTCCAGTGTTCCTGTGATCGCTCAGGATGATGTGGTTTTTATTGAAAATTTATATAAAAATAACTAATTTATACCGTGTGTTAAAACTAGGTTATAGATATTGTTAATTCTGTGATAATTGTTTGATAGAATTTTCCAGAAACCGGATATATTTTTGTTAAATCAATTATCTAGTAGGTACTTAATTAAAATATTTGTATATGTATAAATATTTTAATTAAATTTTACTTGCGTACATAAGAACTTCAAAATATTTATTTAATATGTATCATTATGTAAAATTTTTATTATTGATTATTGCAAACAGCCTTGATTTTATACTTTAAATATAAAGATAATTATGTACATTGAAGAAAATACTTAATATCTAAGTGACAAGACACTTTATTTACGTTATTACATTAGTTACGAATACAATTCTAAAACTTATTTTTGATAGATGTATAAAGATCTTACCAAATATATTTTTAGATGTATATTTTAAGAAATGGTGTATTTGGGTCTATTAAGTGTGCAATAAATATATATATATATAATTATAATAACAGCGTGTTTGATTAACCTTAATTAATTAAGTATAACTACCACAATTTTTACAGTACTTGGTCTTATAGACTGCACGAATTTAATAATTTAGTAAAGCATATTTATATTTAAATTGGTTCCAGTAATGGATAGTGGGGTCGATTCTGAGCGCCATTGCTCTAAACCAAATATTTTTATATGATATTTTCGCAAAAAATACTGTTTTATAGATTATTATAAACTAATTAAACTAACCTATTCATTGAACCTAAAACCTTCTACAAACCCATTTTAACTATTACACTGTTTTGTCACTTTCTTTCAAATATGGAATTTAGCACAAGAGAAAGAGACAAATCAGTTCAATAGCTAAAACAGATTTATCAGAGGATTGACATTTTTATGAATAAGGAGGTAGTTTTGTATTTTTTTTTTTTTTGTAATAGGAATTTAGTTTTTTGATCCTTAGTACTAATATCTTTATAGTGTTATATCAAATTAAAATTAGGTAAAGAAATAACGTCTCAGAATCGATCATAGTATTTACGTACCTAATTTTGATTGCCCACCTAAGTTACAACGGATCGCACGATTCCGTGACGTATGTAAGCATGTACTCGTATTTTTTATCCATAACCGCGTTGCTGAAATATGTATAAATACAAATAAAATCCTTATTTATATAAAATCAATATTTATATACAACCAACTTTAAAAAGTAGGAGGTTCTCAATTCGTATGTTTTTTTATGTTTCTTGCCTCATAACTGTGTCAGTTATAAATCAACTTGGGCCATTTTTTATCTGAAATTATATACTTACAGAATGGTCCCGTAGAAATTTTAACACGTTCAGTCTTTAAACTAAAATAACTGGTTTTGTTACAACTCAAGTCTGTTTTTGTGGAACACGATCTTGTATAGATATAAATATATACAAAAGTTTCAAGTTTACTAGAGAAGAATTGATTTTTGTTTATAGATATAGGTATAAAGGAAACACCGAAAAATAAACCTCATGTCAATGACCGACCGAGTTTGTATATTATTAATTGCAGCACTTATAATGGACACATTACGAAGATGATGAGGATCATGTAAGTACATACATAACTAAAAGTATGAACAGTTTGAAAACTGTCTGTGGTATGATAAGCGATACGACCGAATCAAAATCAGCCCCCTCCTGGACAAGTGACGAACGAATCTGTCGATAGATACGTTATCGCTATCAAATACATGAGATTGAACATGACAGTAACGTCAGACGTGTTCTCCCTCATGTGTGCGATAACAAACACATGTATACCGCCAGATTTGCTAAGAGGGGGGGGGGGGCACAAAATAAAGCATAAACATTCTTAACGACCTTGGAGATGTAGCCATTTAACATACCACATTCTTTCTGAACTCGCAGTTAAATCACCGCATAATAGATGCATTTTTAATCATAAATGTAACTTTATATTCATCTGGATGTTTTCTACGATAATATGTATATATACACAAAAAAGTAATATTCCTATTAGTTGCCTATTGCCCATAGTACAAGCTCTGCTTAGTTTGGTACCAGATGGAACTGCATAATATATCCAGGAGGGGGGGAAGGAAATGTTAGTAATGTGGACTACCAGTCCCCTGTCAGGTCGATCTCCACGTAGTCCCCCTGCGTGGGCCTCGCCAGCGTATATCGTTAGCGCAGGCGGGGCCATTCCATTATCATCCATTGAAAAAAATATATGTACAGCAGTATTTATTATTACTATTATACTGTACCGATCTCATATAATATTTCCCCAAAAGGATGGAAAGGTGACGAGGAGCTCTGGATATATCAAATCAACAACATTCTTAATAGTTCTAACGTAACATCCTTACTAACATTATGTGATTGTTTGTTACTTCATAACGCTTAAACGACTTCACCAATCGCTGTGAAATTTGGTCAACACAGTATGTGTTGACCATGGGATGGAGAAGGATATAGGCTATTGTTTACCTCGGTCAATGAACATATATCGATCAAGCAAACGAAGTCAACACATACTAGATGGGGGAAAGGGATTGTTAGTAATGGAGACTGAGAATCCCATTGCTAGCAATATACCCAACCAGGTCGACCTCCTCGCGGTTCTCCCTGGAAACTATCATGGTTAATTCCTGATGAATTCATCATGATGGGCTAACTGGCCTGTCTTCATTCTCATCTATCACCCTTCACTGGTGCTCCGCCAGCGTATCCCGTTAGCGCAGGCGGGGTTACCATACCATTTTCACCCATCAAAAAAAAATACATACATAGACTTTTTATCTCGGCCAATGAACATATCTCAATCACGCACGCGAAATCGCGTGTAAAAGCTAATAACAAATCAAAACAAAAATATGTAATTAACTATGTCACATTAAGGGTCAATATTTAGCCACATACGCCGAGTCCCCTGATTATATCGCAATCAATTTGCTTAATAATTGCTATTTTTGACACGTTACTACTAGTTTTACAGAGTAATTTTAAGAAACTAAAATTAGAATTGCAAATACTAACTGCTGCAATCCTATTTTTTTTTTATATAACATACATAAGGGGCATACGATCATACAGCTCACCTGATGGTCTTGAGCACCCGCAACACCAAAGGCATTACAAATTTTCTGCCGGACTTTTAAAAATATGCTTTTTTCTTGAATATTACGATGTAGTATCTTTTCAGAAAATCTGCTGCCGGAAATATTGATTCTAAAGCGTGATTGTGCATGGAAGAAAGTGCCTTGAATAATTTTATACATCTTTCTATTCTTAACTATCCTTAATCTATGAAAATTGCTATTTGATGGCTTGAGTAACTCATCTACTCAATTATATGTCTATCAAATCTTTTGTCAGTTAACAATTGCAGATTTATAATAGCCTACCGGAATGACTAAATATTTTTATGATGTCTTAATATCGTGATTTTAATCAGTAAATATTTAGAAAAGATTGTATTAAAACCTAAAAAGATGTTAGAATAGAATAAAAATAATACTTAGAATAGATTAAAAACTTGGGGAACTTCCTGCTAAAACATGGAGTTTGAGGTCGGCTGGTGACAAGTTTTAAAGTCCGAATTGAAAAAAAAAAAATGATAAAATAACTCAAGTTTGATTACAATAATTATAATACAAAGTACAAAAGGCGGTCTTATCACGGAACAATAGATACAACGTACTAATTTAGCAGGTCTAAGAAATACCTATATTAAATTAGTACAGATTATAGGTAAAATACCTACCTCACTTAGGTTTGAATTTATTTATTTAAATTAAAAAAAATATATCATTAACATTTTTAGAATACTTAGTAATCAACATGCCGTAGATGTTAGAATAATAATAATAGAAATAGACTACTAGAAATATTTTTTTAAAAATAAAGCATTGCCATGCATAAACATAAACACCCAACTGTAGTGCTATATGAGGTGATCAGAGGTATTAGTTGATATAGGCATTGGTTGATATTGCCATTGCGGAAACAGCGGCACTCAATTTGCTAACTAAAAGATTACCTACTAAAATAATCACTGAATAAACTTTAATATTTGATGTTAGCAAATACTAATTCACACTACCTGTTAATTATAAATTTAAATAATAGAAATCAATTATATTGTACTTAATTACAAAGGAATAATTGATAAAAAAAAATCGCTAATAATTATGATAATCACTTACTTTATTGATAGGCAAAATATTTGTAGATAATAATAACAAATCTAGGATAGGTTTATAATGATAAAACTGGAAAGTACAATTCTATTACCAAATGATCAATGTATATCTTAAACTATAAATGCATAATAAATTATGACATACATGGAAATGTGCAAAATAATAATTATATCAAAGAATATTGTATACCTACATAACAGAAGTCATGTTACATAGATAAAAACAAAAGCATCACTGTATGAGATAATTATGACCCTTAACCTACAGCAATACGTTTAACAAACATAGCAATAATTAACATTTTTGTAAACAATAACCCAGCAGATAGAAAACAATCATATACCTATGTTGTAGTTATTATTATTAAACAGGAACTTAAAGATTACTCGGTCAATCCTTGCAGACTTCCAGAGCATCTCTCTTCTCTTCGGCAAGCTCTTTACCAGTTATATCTAACATTTCACGAGCAAAATCAGAGATAGTCAGTCCCTCTACAATCTTCCATTTCCCATTAGTAACTGTCACAGGGAATGAGAAGACCACATCACGAGGAGTGCCATAGGACCCATCTGAGATTACACCCATGCTCACCCAACGGTCCCCAGTGCCCAAAAACCAATCCCTCATATGGTCTGATGCAGCTTTAGCTGCTGAAAGAGCAGATGACATTTTCCTAGCAGCAATAACAGCTGCACCACGCTTCTGTACAGTGGTCACAAAAGTGGTCTTTAAATATTCATCATCATTAACAGCTGCTGGTACAGGCTTGTTGATACCGCCAACATTGACAAGAGCATTTGAGGCATCAGGGAATTGTGTGGAGGAATGGTTACCCCAAATAATAACATTCTTAACATCACGAACTGGGACTCCTAACTTGTCTGCCAGTTGTGCTTGTGCTCTATTATGATCCAAACGTGTCATAGCTGTGAAGTTTTCTCTGGGGATGGACGGTGCATATTTTGAGCAAATTAGTGCATTTGTGTTTGCAGGGTTACCTACAACAAGTATTTTAACATCCTTTCTGGCTACTTTGTCGAGGGCCTGCCCCTGCTCTTTGAAAATACGAACATTTGCTGATAGAAGATCCTTCCTCTCCATTCCCTCTTTCCTGGGCATGGATCCAACTAGGAATGCTGCGGCAACATCTTTAAATGCTTCTTCTGGGTTTGCTGTTGGTAAGACACCAGCAAGAAGTGGTAATGCGCAATCTGCTAGTTCCATAACAACACCATTGAGGACTCCCATCATAGGAGCTATATCTAAAAGGTGTAGGTAGACAGGCTGGTTGGGTCCAAACACTGCACCAGATGCAATCTGATACAGCAGAGAATATGCTATTTGACCTGCTGCTCCGGTCACCGCAACTTTGATTGGTGCAGCCTGAAATAAAATAGAGCATTGCATTAAGAACAATAAATATTGCCCAATGGTTGACTGGTAGAAAACACCATTCAGTGTTAAGTCCACCACATCTACAGTTTCATGGTGCATTTAAATTTAAATAAATATCTAAAAATAAATTGTTTATCATCAATTATATCATAGTGAATATAAAAAATAATATGATCACAACTGTACTACATTAGAACAATTATACTACATTAGAAGTATATATTTATATATTTAACATAAATACTATGTAGTGTTGTCTTTGAAAATACCAAACTAGTTTTGAACTTAATTGATGAGTGATTGAGAAAAATAGTATAGAGAGGGTAGTTCACCTTAAACATAAGTGAAGGTAATGTAATTTCAATGCAATTTTTATATAAGGATATTCATTATAAAACAAATACCAAAGTACATAAATTTTATATTACTTTAAATAAAAAAAAAATTATTAACTGAATCATAAATCATTATGAAATTATGAAATGACATGTTTTGTAAACATCTCAAAAAATTATATTGCAATTGATAGAATTTTGCATTTTACAAATATAATTAATACTAAATATATCAATAATTACCATGACTACAGGTTCCTTGACAATAATTTCTGTTTCCTCAACAATTCTTGGAGCACTACCGCAACAAAAACATGACATATTGATTGGAAAGTATTTATCAATATAAGTACCTACCACTCAATTACAAAGTAAGTATATTGCGATGACGATAACAAATTACCTATCTAAAGACCTTCAGATAAATATTCAGATAAATTATTACTCACATATCTAAATGCTTAACATATTTCCATCTTCAAATATTATTCTTAAGTATTCCCGAATAAGAACGACATCGCAGATAAATATTAGATACTTTTTTTAATAATTTTACAGAATTGATAAGTTTTTAAAGTCAAGTGAATGTCATATAAAGTAAAACTAGTAAAGATTAATACTTACCATATTCTATTAAAATAATGCACTCGTTTTAATAAAAGATAAGTACTGATTAATTATTAGTCTTCCGCTTATCAAAAATAGATCGTCTTTCCACTAGTCTGTGCCGTAAAAATTAGACCGGCGACTGGTAAATATTAAATATAATAATTGTGTAAGTTATGTAATCTGAACAAAGTTCCGAGCAAAGCAACCAAAATAGCTGTCTATTCGTTCAGTTAGTACATAACAAACAAAAGATAATTAATCAGTCAGTAGAATACAATTATATCAAAATCTATTCATCAATCGCTAATCTTCACAACGGTCAACAAAACAGTGATGACGTTTAAGAAGTAATCACTATGTTATGTATCGGCACTGCCTTTATTTGTCGAAATAAAAAATAAATAAACTTAGGTAACCATATAGGAGAATTAACACCATAATGTTCGTAATGGTACTAGTGGTATATAATACATCAAAACAGGGTGAATACGAACAATTTGTAACTTCATGTAACTTTTTTTTCTAATTAACCTATCTGTTCAATACATATAATACGTACAAACATTAATCCGACAAAAATCCGAAATCACATTTTTTTTTATCTTTGACTACTTATTATTATTTAAAGCGCATGCATTTCGTGAATAGAAATGAGAGTAAGGTCATTAGATAAATTAGCCAAAATTCTTACTTTTATTATTTAAATATTAATAATATAACTAAGACTCTTACTTAATAATCTTATATCAAATATATGCTTCTTATACCTCCATGACAATAAAGAAAAACATAATTAAGCTAAGCGTATCTTTTTGTTCAGGTAACAATGTATAAAATTAAGAAGAATTATTTAAATGAAGAAAGTTACACAAAAAATCATTTTGTCACTTGTTTAACAACATCAATTGGCAAATCAAGTGGCATTTTATTAAGTTGGGAAAAATAGTTTTTAACTTTAATCGACGAAATATTTTCACTCTGTAAGCATTTTTATTAACCCCTTTAGGTTGTACACGTTTCACTTCACCCTCTTGATACTTCTATTACCTCCTTTCTTCGTTTCAATTAACCACTTTAGCAACAATCACCACATTGTTTACGATATTTTATATGTAACTGGTTATAAATTTATTTATTTATTTTAAACAATAATTATAAGTTTCTAACAATAATTAAGACATAGATATCTTTTAGACATTTATGATCATAAATATATTGTAAAAAGCAGACATAACTGAAATAAAAAAAAAATCAAAACATTTGAACTTTTTTACTTTCCCACCACAACTTTCAGAATATATTTTACATTACTAAAATATTATTTGTACTACGTGTAAAACATAATAGACAAAGGAAAAAAGTTGAAGTTTTCCTAAGTTTTATATTATTCCAGGAATTCTATTAACTCTGTTTTAAGATATATATTTTTCAATCTGTAATCTTAATATAGACATGTATCATAAAGGATCTACTTATATTGAGAAACTTTCAAATTTAATGAACTGGTTGCATTTATTTAATCAAAAGCTATTTATACGATGTGAGTTCAGCCTGGTTTAATGACCAATCGAATGACGACGAAGATGACATAAAGTCAACGTGACAGCTTTGGAGTTGATTCTGAGGCGCTATTTCTCTACATCTGTCAAAAATATTAAAATTTCAATTTAATATTACTGCGAAATTTTTATTCTAAATATTAATATGCACTAAATCTATAGTAATAAGAATTCTTTTAAAAAATTAATTTATAAACAAACTTTAAGATAAAAGACGTAAAATAGATATACTTATAAGATAAAAATTCAGTGTGATTACTTATTATTACAGTGTGGAAAGTAAATATTTTCGTTTTAAAAATTAGATGGTATCATTTACGTCTTGCATAATGATTGTATAATTATTACGAGTAAATAATTTTTAATATAATGGCTATAAAAAGGGCTATAATTACATTATATTTAATTATTTCTTTTTAAACGATACTTTTTTTAGAATTATTTTTTTAAAGGTGATTTTATTTACTTTTTAAAACATCTTAATAAAAATCATCATCTAGTAATAATACTAGCAATACTATTAAATATTTATATATTCTCATCTTTCCATTTTTCTCGTAAATCTGATATGACATTAGAAGCGAGATCTTTTGTTTTTAATTTTTATTGCTATGTAATTTTAATTTTTTGTCTAATTAAATTGTATTAAAAATAATAATCTTTTTTAATCTATTTATTAGATTGTCACCTGCCCCATCTGATGTTGTAAATCTGTCTTCAAATTTATAACAATTTTAAATGACTGTATCTTTATTAACACATTGTGACGTGGATTATCTATATTTTGTGTATTTTACAGTTTATATAATTTACATATTTGTCAATTGTAGTCCTTTTTCTTTGCATCTATTAACGAAAAGTTTTCGGTTTATTTTCTTTCATGTGTAAACACAATTTTTTATTAATTTTAGTATGTACTTAATAAGACCTTTATTAAAATATATACTTTGCGCACTGTAATATAAATACGCTTTGTAAAAACCCGTGACAGAAAAAGATAGTAACATTAATTTAACTGTAGGAGCGACAAAAAAGAAATATCATACTCGTGCTTTCAACTCGTTGTCTGCTTTAATATTGTATGTCTGTCCTTAGATTATGAAGCGTGTTATACTAAGTCAATGTTGATACCTTAGATTATATCGTTTGTACGGTAAATTTTAGTTTAATAAATAATAATTCTTTATAACAACAAATTGTTCAGTATAAAATCGACGCCAATTGATTACTCTGGGTGTCTTAGAGAACTTATCTTCCAGTTCAGTAAAACCTAAGAGTAGGATGAAAAAAAAAATAATTATGACATAATAAGCAAGATAACCTTAAAATCTCTTTCTTTTTGAAATAATGTTTAAAGATTGAGGAACATAATATTATAAAATATAGTACATATAATATCTACTTGTCTTGAATGTGTAATTGTTAATGTATTAGTAATTAAATATTTCGAACCATGTCGCTGCTTAGATCTACTAAGTTTGTGCGGTATTTTACTGGTGCGGCGAGAACTCTCATACTGAACAGCGCCAAGACTGCAGAAGCCAACATTTTAATTAACTCTAAAGCTTTAATTGGCGCCAACAAGTAAGTTATATTTTTTTATAATGTTTTCAGGAGCAATTGTACTCACGGGTAATGTGGGTAATCCACGCTGGTAAATCTCATGAACATTTTTTAATATCTGTTTTTTGTAAAAACAACATTCTTTTTTTCTAATTACACGTATTAACTATATATGTTTAATTAATCGGGAGATTCTTTATATTTCCATTGACATTTAAAATTTCTTATCAATTTCTACTATTTAACACATACACGTTTACTTGATAACTTGTAATGAATCTCATTATTAAATCAATCTTTTATTTAAACTGTAACTTAAACTACTCAGAACTATCCTCTTACTTATAATCTTACTAATTATTGTGCATCTTTTATACAAGAATTGAATATTATTGGTTACATTTGGTAAATGAATAGGTCATATTGTAACTTAGGTTAGTACATAGGATACTTTGTTTATTTACACCAGCAAAGACATAGGACATTAATATATAGGATAATTTGGATAGAATTATTTTCATCTTTTCAATTGAAATTACAGTGTCTTAATAAGAGATTATTCAACATCCAAGAAAACCGAAAGCCTCGAGCCCCTTCTACAAAAGTTGGATTCAGAAGTACGGAGATTTGGACGAATCACTAAGAAGGATATTGATGAAGTATTTGATGAAATTCGCTCCAAAAATGACATTACAAGTTCACAATCACTGTTGGTCATCAGATGCTGTGGTTAGACTATATAATTTTACGTTCTTTGATCCCTTACATCAATCATAAATAATCATGTAAATCAATCCTATGCAGGAGGATATGATTGATTTACATGATTATTATCCATAATCCTTAAATTCTTGACAACCATACATCAATCTTAGTACAATTCATGTAGACAAACAAAGAAGTAAACCCTTTTAATAAAAAAAATAACTCATATTTCATAATTAATGAAAATAATTATTAAAATATTATTTGTATTTTTTTAAACTAATTATCATTTTTATACATAATATACATGTGAAATGAGAAATTAATGTGTATTCAATATATCATTGTGTTTTTGTTGTTTCTGACAATTATTTCGACTTAATCTGGAAGTTTTCTTCAGGGGTATTTGACACTGTGTCACAGTGTCTCGCCTCACATAATGCAAGTAACACAGTGAGTTCATTAATACTCTGTTACACATGTATATAGTTATCCAATAAAAATGAAGTATATTATTACATAAAAAAAAATAGTTTAATCATATAGATATTAGATTAGTCTATATAAATTATTGTAAAGCTTAATCTATATACATAATTGTTCAGGTGAATTGGTGCCAGAAGAATTGCCAGAACAAAGAACACTACTTGTACAGAAAATATGGAATGTTCTAACAGAGAGAGGCATTCCTATGGACATTTCACATTACAATGCATTGCTTAGGGTATATATTGAGAATGAACATCAATTTTCACCTGCTAAGTTTTTAGAAGAATTGGAGAAAAAAGGGTTACAACCAAACAGGTTGGTATCAGTAATCCTTTTAATATAATAAATGTGAAAATTTGTGATGATGGAGGGATGGATGCTTGTTTGTTTGTTAGTTACTCTTTTAAATAAGCAAGTTATTCATATGTATTTAATTTGGCCATTTCTATTATAGAGTGACATATCAAAGACTTATGTGGCGCTACTGTCAAGAAGGTGATGTTGAAGGTGCAACTAAAGTTTTAGAGAAAATGAGGGAGCTCAACTTTCCTGTCTCTGAGCCAGTATTAAATGCTTTAGTTATGGGCCATGCCTTCCATGGGGACACAGATGGTGCAAAAGCTGTTCTCGAGACAATGGCTGGTGCTGGTCTTGAACCAACAAATCGTACATATACCCTATTAGCCTGCGGCTATGCTAAAAAAGGTGACATTGAGGGTGTTAAAAGCACTATTGAAGCAGCTACACAAAAAGATACACTTCTACTTGACAAGGTAAATGAAATCTTAGTTGCTCCAGATAAACACTTTGATACCTGTGAATTATAAACTCTCTGTTAACCAAGAATACTGAATTTACAAGAACTTATAATAAACATAAACATTTATAAGCACCTTATCATGAACCCAGCCATTCATTGTTCGTTGTCGCACATAATAATTTATATAATTTATAATAATAATTTATCTTTTTATTTTATATTTTTAAAATAATCAATACAATAAATTCAAGAGCACATAACTATATTCATTATTAATTTGATTTATTAATATATTTTAATTCTAATTCACACATTAAATTGTCAGAAAATTGCAAAATTTGGATTGTTTTCTGAAATTTTATATCATCATTATCATATCAGCTGTTAACTGTCCACTATTGAACATAGGCCTCCTCTATTGGGAGGGTTTTATATAATAATACAAGGCACCAACATAATTCACAATAAGATTTTAAATTATTCTATTACAGGATATTTTAGATATTGTAGAGTATCTGGCAATTGGAGGCCATGAAGACAAGGTTGAACAGGTATTCCCATATTTGCAAAAAGCAATTGGATATAATCAAGATGTCTGCAATCTTATACTAAAATTACTCAACAAAGGACATGAAGAAACAGCCAAAAAGATAATGAAGACTATGCCAAAAACAGCCAATGTAGAGGATACACCATTCAAAGGAGCTTTCTATGTGAAACAATTATTGAAAATTAATAAAACCGCCGATTCTATCATTAAATCATGCAGAGAGTTAAAAGAAGAAGGCCTAGTACCTAATGCCATTTTTATTGCAACAGAAAATGCACTTCAAAATGGACAGATTGAATTAGCACAAAGTTTATTCAAAGAGTTACAAAAGGACGGTATAGAATTGCGTCAGCATTATTATTGGCCATTGTTAGTCCAGAAAGGTAAAGAACAAGACGAGGAGGGACTTTTACAAATACTTCGCAATATGTCTGCTGCTGGTGTTTCACCAGTAGGCGAAACACTTCGGGATTATGTCATACCATACCTGATAGAAAAGGATACACCTCAAAATGTAATATTAAAACTTCAAATTTGTAATGTGCCTCTTATTGCTAGCGCTAGGAATGTAATGGTAGCACTCTTGGAATTAGGCCATACGAAAAAAGCAGCAGAAATTGCTCTTCAGTACCATCCAAGAGGTCAGTACACCTTGATTGCTCGTCCACTTCTCAATGCATTGTCTAAAACTAAGGATATAGAGTCTTTTGCTAGCATATTGCATGTCGTTAGCAGTAGACCTCAAATATCTCAAGTTGATGAAGATACTAATGAAGATTTACAAAAAGACGACAATCAGAACAACATAAATGTTGGTCGAATTGTAAATTCAGCTGTAAGGATATTGTCCAAACCAGATCTTTGTGAGAACTTACTGTCGAATATGTACTCTAAAGGGCTTGGCATTAATACTGAGTCGGCCGAAGCTATAGCACAGTATCTTGGTGAAAATATGACGACCAAATTATCAGAGTTATTGTCACAACTCACATCATCAGATTTAGAATTAGCTCCTGTCCAGAGCATACGAAGAGAATCAACTGGCCCTCCATCAGCAGCACAATTGGAAAAAATTCTTAAGCAAAACAAAAACAAGGGAAACAATGTTAATCGAATCCAAAAACAATTGTTAACTGCATATATAAAGGAGAATAATACAACTAAAGTAAATAGTTTCTTACAAGAGTTAAAAGGGTCTGACTTTGAACTCACTCCAGCAACACTTGCCCAACTTTATGAATACTATAGTCAGAATGATGAAATCGATAGAGCTAATGAATGTAAAGCCGAGATTTTAGCAAAATATCCTGATTTTACATTAAATAAATTTAAATTAATACAAATGGCTTTTGCTTTGGTTAGAACTAATAGGTATGATGAAGCTGTTCAATTCCTTAAGGATAACAAGCAGGCTGATGACATTGATACAGGATTTATGTATAATTCTAAAGTTTGGCAATTACTGAATAGTCTAGCTGAAAAAAAGGATTCCGAGAAAGTAAGTGTAAATATACACTAATGTTATTTTGAATATTAATGTTGCTTTTATTTTAAACTTTGTAAATACTCTTTACTTTTTTAGGTCATAGAACTAACAAAATTATTAATAGAGAACAACTACATTGAGCCCTCTAATGTGATATTAGGTCCCTTGATAAAGGTGCACCTACTGAAGGATGATATTGACAGTGCATTAAAAGAATTTGAGAATTGTTGCAATCAGTACAGAAGTACCCCATGGAAAGGGGAGTTGATGAAAGCACTTATAATGAAAGAAGATGCATCCAAGCTTCAGTGGCTAGCGGACCTTAGCACTCAGGTAATTTTGTTGCAATCATTCATCATTTTAGCTGTTTATCTTTTACTACTAAATATGGTCCTTTTAGATAGACTATGTACTACCTATAAGGAATTGCTAGCAATGTACCCTATCAGGTCGACCTCCACATTCCCTCTGGTAACCACTGATTATGAGTAATTCTTGAGAAATTTATCATGATGGGCTAACTGGCCTGGTCATTGTCACCTATCTTCTCACATTGAGGCCACCCTAGCGTACACTTATAACGCAGATGGGGATACTATCCATTTATCATCAATTAAAAAAGAACCACTGTCCATATATTTCTTTCAACATTTGAGGTGATCAATCAATTTTGTAGGATGTCAAATGGGTGACCAATTTGTTAACCATTTAAAGTAGACTTTAGGATATGGTTAAAAACCAAATATCCCATGGAGATTTGTGGATTGAACGGAACACCCAGTATGCCTTTTGGGGTCTAGCAACCCTGTTGCTAGCAATGTACCCTATCAGATCGATATCGTGGTTAATTTTTGTGGAATTCAATCAAGACTGGCTAACTGACCTGCATTCATTCTAACCTATCATCTATCACTAGTACTCCGCCAGTGTATACTCATATAGCGCAGGCCATTACCATTCCATTATCAAACTTTTCATAAACCTATTTTAGCTGTGGAAATGTTTTGTCACTTGAGTTTAAACTGAATTTGTTTACGTTATAGTTCCTTAACGACTTAAAAGATCACTATGAAATTTGGCATACACATACCATACGGGATGGAGAAGTTTTTAGGCTACTATTTATTCTAGTCAGTGGACATCCGGCCACGCGAATGTAGTCGCGGGTAAAAACTAATAGGTTATAAACATGTACATCCTATATCATCATATTAGCCGTTAACTAACCACTACTAAACATAAGCCTCCCCATAAGGGGGGTTTTATTAGTAGTTGCCACGCTTGGCAGGCGGGTTGGTAGGCTTTGGTGATGTTCTAAGAGGGGCCCTGCTGCCTATACCTCGACCATTAAATTTCCTTAGTCGCCTCTTACGACACCAACGTGAAAGAAAGAGATGGCCAATTATTTGCCGGGACCACTGACATCCTGTATGTATACGTAGCACAAACATCTCGTCGTTCATAGTTGACTTCACGGTTAAAGTACTTTTTTACGGATTAATATGTTGTTTGTTTTAATACATAATGAATTTAATTATCTATGAATTATGCTATGAATTATAGATCCACGGTGAAGTGAACATCCTGCATGACTTAGTGCTCGCATTTGTGGAATGCGGTCGATTACGGCAAGCTCGCCGTATCCTGGAAACACCGGGTATGCAGACCCGCCAGCGACGACTCGACGACGCCTGTCAAAGATATGTTGAGGTAAACATTGATGCTCCTTTCCACTTTGAGTTTGCTGGAAGAAAACACTTGTAGAAGCTCACCTTTGTACATTTGCTTGCCTCTGTAATATTTTTATATGTGTGTAATATAAATAAATATAAAAATATAAATAAATAATCTATTCACTGCAAAGCTGTTTTAAGATGCATTGGAATCTAGCAACTATAAAAATATAGTTTTTTCTATCCATCTGAAGGTCTTGTAATTAATAATTACAAATTGTAATCATACCTAGCAAAATGTTTTTCACTTGGATTGTTCACTTTTTTGATTATACATTTCTTTTGCATAATTTTTACTTTTTTATATTTTTAACTAACTTCAAAAAGAAGGTTTTTTTTAATTTGGTTGTATTTTTTTTTAATGTTTGTTACATCATAACTCCATCAGCTGTTTGACCGATTGGGTTTTTTTTTTTTATCTAACAGGATATATTTACATAAAAATTTTATCAAAATTGATTTAGTGGTTTTTAGATCAAATTAATTGGTTTTGTCACAATTGAAGGCGGCTTTTTTTGTAGGACACAATCTTTAATGAATTTTCTTATTTTGGGTTGGATCAATGAATTATTATATTCTTCAAAACTCTCTAAGGAATTCGTACATAACTCTTTACTAATTTATCTGCTCAATATTACCTTTTAGACATTATAATAAATTATTATTATTACAGGAAGGCAAATCTGAATACTTGGAAGGTCTTCTCGAAGCCACAAAGGAACTGTCTTACATTGACCGTTCAAATATCTTCTATCACCTTCTTGTAACTTACTGCAAAGCCAATCAGACTGACAAAGCAGTTGGTCTATGGACTATTTTGCAAGAAGAAGGTGAAATACCAAGCGACCAATTCCTCTCGTATCTTAGTAAACATCTCAAATCTAAGAATAGGGAAGTTCCATTCGTGGTCCCTAATGAAACTCCGACCAAACAGAAAACATCTGAAGTTACCAAACCTAAACAGACTGGCCCAACTAAAAATGAACTAACAAACACGATTGAGACACTGGTTCAAGAAGGCAAAACCGATCAAGCTTTGGACGTGGCTATAAAATCATTTGAACATGGAATTATTCCCAAATCAAGTGTTCTGAAATATACACTAAAAAAACTGGCTGAGGAATCTAATGTGGAAAAAATACAGCAATTGGGCAAATATGTAAGTGATAATTTGAGACGCCGTATAACCTATGATGATAAACTTACTTTGGCTATTTTCAACCGAGGAGATGGAGCCAATCACATGGACAGTATACTAACATCTTTAGAAAATGCCACCACAGATGAAGATATAGAAAATATTCTAACAAAATTCCCGAGAAGCAATGCATTAGCATCTATTATGGAGAACAAAGAGGTTTTAAGCAAATGTTAGTCTGCTTTTTTATTTTCATAGACATAACAGGAATTAGTATAAGAAAAGAGGGTAGTATAGTTGTCAGGAAGAGAATATGGGCTGAGAAAGAGCAGGGAGGGGGGATAATATCGAAACTTCCATATTACAAATATATATTGATGTTTGAAAATAAAACAGCTCATATTACTTGCTGATAATATAACTTTCTCTAAGCGAATGAATTTATAAAATCTCTTAAGAATTTTTGTAATTTAATAGAAAAAAATTTGCATGCCAATGGCATATGCATTGGCAGTCCAAGTAATGAAAAGTTGTAACTAATCGCCTGTATTATATAAACATACGTAAATGAACAATCAAACCTCATTATCCTATACTGTTATTATATTATAATGTAGTCGATTCTAAGGCACTATCTCTTTAAATCTCTTAACCAGATATTTTAAATTGATAGTTTCGGAAAAATACTGTTTTATGGATTATCATAGACTGATTAATAATAATTATGACTTAAAAGTTTTTGAAATTTAAAGATATCAATTTTAATTTTATAATTAGGTTTAAAGAAATGGTAGCTCAGAATCTATCACAATATCTGATATTTTTTAATTAAAATCAAGGTATGTATTGTTCAGCAATGTTGCAATTTTTGTTCTACAGGTCACACAGTAGCAGAAATTCTTGCATCGAAAGGTCACACGAACCCCGCCAATCTGTTGTGGATGGAATATGTGCTGTCAGATAAAGAGCAAGAGGCAGATACGTTATGGAAGAAATCACTCATCAATGCTAACAGCATTTTATTTAGGAGACTATTACAAGAGAGCCATCAGAGAAACGAGCCACGGTATATTGAAAAACTGATAAGTGCTTTGCAGTCAAATAATCAGACATCTTTGGGTTCATTAGGTAACGCTTTTTCGCGATTGATAAACATGCATGTAGTAAATAATAATTTACAAGAAGCAGAAAATGTTTTAAAAAGGGCAATTGATTGTGGTTTGAAGAAAGAACATTTTAATAAAAATTGTATAGAAAGATTGCAATCGGCGTTTACCACGGCAGGCAAAGAATTTAAGTTTACGCTTTAAATACTTGTGCTGTATTACATATTTGTATTACATATTATACTTTATATTATCTTGTGTATGTTTATATTAATATATCAATATATTATCTCTATTTTAGTCAGAGAAAATATGAAAGGTCTTAACTTGACATGCCACAAAAATTATAAATACCAAATCTTAACTGAACTAGTTGTAAATTACAAACAGTGTAGTTTTAATATTATTTAGTAATTAATGTTTAATAAATTATTAGTTCCCAACAGATTGTTTAATTTTACCCGACCGCAAAAAAGCATTTTCGTAGACACCTGTATGCTATTCTTAATAATATCGCAATGCGCACCAGATCCAAGTAATCTAAGATTAGTCAAGGGAATTGAAAAGACTACCAGACCTAAATCGTAATAAAATAGCTTTATATAATCCATCAATTCTGGGGGGCGGGGGAGAAATTAATGGGTTTTCCTTTCCCTTTCACCTGAAAACCATCCTGGTTAATTTTTGTTGAATGGGTAACGATGGGTCAATTTTATTCGGCATAGATACCATTCAATCGTCATTCATTAAAAAAAATTAATAGGCCACACACACTAATAGCGTAATCACAGAACTAGTAATTACTTGGCCTTAATAATACTAAATAAGAAGGAAAGAAAGAAGAATTTATTCATAAAATCGTGCGATTGACATATCTCTAGCATAAATGAAATCACTCTCAGTAGCATAATTGGAAAAACTAAGTATTAAAATATAATTAAAAGAAAGTTTGCATCAGCGGATTAAAAAGCGAATTTTGTTATGATTTATGTACAGTGCGGTTTTTAACGTGGTTTTTTAATGTTAGTTTAATTTTATTTAACACCAAAAACTAGTTCGTAATACGATACCAACCTCATTATTTTCTCATAATATTAGAAGCAAACATAGGTATCTGGCCTAATTTTCAATATTTGGTGCTATTTTGCTATTTCTGAATTTGGGTCAGCCCGAAATTTACTTCAACATAGCAATATAGGAATAGAGATATACAAAATATCGATATTATTATTAAAAATATTATCGATATTAAAATCCACTGTAATTTGATATCAAACTTATTAGTCGAATTATTTAATATTAAGATGTAGATCAAAATTATCAACAACAGTTAATGAACAAAAATAAAAAAATTATGTAATCTTATTGGTTTAATACAGTTATCTATTTAATCACTTAATGTAAATGAATTTAATCACTTAAATAAAAAAATATATCAATTTCAAATAAGTTAAATTTTAAATCAAGAGTCCTAACTAGACTTTTCTTATTATCTTGACGGTATTATGCAGTTTGGATTTAAATCATACTTAATGAAACCATGAATTATTAGACGAATTGATGACTTCAGATGAATTATTTTTATTCAATACCTATTGTGTTAATATTTATTATAATTATGTAATCACTATATACTTGTTTATATCGGATTAATTGGATAATATTTTAGTAAAATTACGATTTATCAAAAAAACTAGTAAGAAACAAAATTTTAAATTTTACCATCAGATCAATGCGTACTTTGTCTAATTTAAGTTTATTTTACAGGAAGCCTACCTAGCTCCCTAAAAAAAGGCTCATATATACTATCGGAAACTTTTTTGCGCATAGCTGAAAGCTCCGCTTGGTAGGTACTAGTATCCGCTGAGGTGGATATTAGAGAATTGTGGGGTAGACACTGTCTCACCTAAATACGCCTGTGAATATATACTATTCGATACTGATTCGCAAGAAACAAATTGTTATTATGCATAGGGAATATGGATTGAAGCTTAAGCTGTATATATATATATCATATTATTAATAAAAGGTTCACATATCAGCAAAGCCAGTTTTATATTCAGCAAGTTTTTCACGGCGCTTCATTGAAAGAAGGAAAAGAAAACAAGATCATCATTCAACTTACTGACTTGCCCTGGAGAAATTTGATTTTGATTCCGCCCATTTTGATGCCAACAAAAAGGTCGAAAGATCCTTCGATTCATCAGGGATCTGCTGTTTCTCCAACTTTAAATTTAATGTGATGCTTTACTAATCCTATGACGTCTCTGTTAAACATTGGCTCCCTACTTGGATATAAAAGGTCGGTTCTATCATTAAGTCAACATGAAGATATTCAAATCATTTATTCGTACAGAAGATTTCTGGCTTTTAAGAAATTAAAGGGAACAGGAAATGTAACAGATTTAAGATAAGAGAGAGTATTTTTTTTTTATGGATGATAATGGAATTGTGACCCCACCCGCGCTATCGGTATACACCGGCGGGGCACCAGTGAAGGATGATAGGTGAAGATGAAGTAGGTCAGTTAGCCCATCGTGACAAATTCAACAAGAATTGTTCACGATGGTTTCCAGGGGGAACCACGTGGAGGTCGACCTAATAAGGCATATTGCTAGCAATGGGGCTGTCAAATTTCATTACTAACAATCCCTTTCCCCCCAAGAGAGAGTATTAGTACATATATTTGTAGTAAAAGTAATTTTGTTTCAACAGAACATTAACAAAACAAGTTGCTAGGTAATGTACAGATAAAGAAGAACACTATTATCGTTACACAAAGATCTCTTCTTAAGACTGACTACCTATGTAACTTATATTTTTTTTAACTAATATCGATATCAAAATATCGATATTTGTACTTGATATCAATATTTGACATGCTTAATTTTGGCGGGAAAATAAGCGTCATTTTGTAATTGTATATTTTTTTGATTGTGCAAATTGACACGAACTTTTATATTAAAGAATATTTTTAATTAAATTTTGTGAAAATGTTTTATCCAGTAGATTCATTGAAAAGAGGGGGCAGGTTTTATTTATGCTGGGTAGCAGACTCATGGCCATTACGGTTTGCTACGATAACACAAAGGCAATTATGGTCCCAAGATATTCGGAAAATATGGTATTTATTTTCAAAACTAATTATTAAGTATATTTTTAGTGATACTTTGAAATTTACAAATAAATTTGATACATTTCAGTGACGATTTGTTGGAAGTAATGACCAACGAATCCGGCCGTCCAGTCAACAGGTTTTCTCTCAGGCTAAGCTCACAATTAATGCGAGGTTTAGTGAGACTCTACCAAAGAAAAGTCTCAGTTTTCTTAGGTATATGCATTGTCAATCATTGTTACGTAAGTATATAAATATGAATATTAAATTCATATTAAATTTTGTACTAATTTCAGGAGACTTGTGCATGATCAACGCCAATGTTATTAAAAATATTAATAAAAAGTAAGTATTATATAGGTCGTTAACAAAAGGTAAGAGCAATAAATATAATTAAATTTCTACAATAGAAGACATACACATCTTACTGTACTTTAAGGCTGAAATGCCAGTCTCGGTTCAATCTCAGACAGATCTTTCTCTGGTAAAATATTACTATGTAATAATGTATGTATTTATACAGTCCAATCCAATCCCGTGGGGGGAAAGGGATTGTTAGTAATGGAGACTGAGAATCCCATTGCTATGAACTGACTGAGAATCGCTGCTTTTGGAAATGATGGTATAAGGCAGGGGGAAGCACAAAAGATCTCAATGGGTCGACGTGCAACAGCTTAGCTGACCCCATATGCGAATATATAAGATAAGATAAGATCCCATTGCTAGCAATATACCCAACCAGGTCGACTTCCTCGCGGTTCTCCCTGGAAACTATCATGGTTAATTCCTGATGAATTTATCATGATAGGCTAACTGGCCTGTTTTCATTCTCATCTATTACCCTTCACTGGTGCTCCGCCAGCGTATCCGGTTAGCGTAGGCGGTATTACCATACCATTTTCACCTATCAAAAAAAATCCAATCCCATTCCTTTTACTATCAATTTCAAGCTGTTTCTATTGATCATACTAAGAGTAATCCCGAGACTGCCATTATAATGTGTATCCAGCCTAAAGTTAATATTTTAAATTGGGCCAACTGAGAATTCAACCCAAGACTTTCTTTATATAAAGCAACACACACACACAAACTTATACACACACAAAATTATAATTATTATCTTAATGAAATTTTGAATCATAAAAAGAAAAAACTTCAATCAAAATAATATCAATATGGAACTATCAAATAAATACCCTATTTAATGCAAAAAGAATATTTAAAATTAGTTTTAATTTGGTAAAGATATTGCTTTAGTATACACATACAAAACAACACAGGAGAAAAGGGCACCACTTTACCAGGAAAATTATTTAAAAAGATCTTAGTATGTTGTTGTGACTTTATAATTTTTTTTTTTTTATGTACATAGATGGAATGTACATGTTTTGGAGTTGGAAGAACATCCACGTTTACAAATGCTACCACCACTTCAACCTCCAACAGTGGAAGTACCTGATGAGCCTGAAAATGAACAGAGAATTGCAGAATTAATCCAAGTAATTTTTTATCTAATTTAAAATTATTATCATCATCATCATTTCAACTGTTTTTTTTTTATGGTTTTTCGGTACAGTATTTAAGGCATCCCGTCCTCACTATTGGATACGGGTGACGGAATGCCTATACAAGACGGTACATGGTGGACGCAGTTTAGACGCAATATTTGAGGAGCATTAGGAAGATACATATCAACCGTTAACTGGCCACTGCTAAACAGGCCTCCTCCATAAGGGGAAATTTTGCCAGTTGACAGGCAGGTTGACAACCGCAGTTAGGCTTTGGTGGCTTGGCATTATGTTTTTGAAAATGGTTAAAAATAGCTTTTATTTCATTACAGAACAGTGGCAACATTGTGCCGAATATCCAAGATATAACATTAAAGGAATCTACTATTCCTGAATTCCAACTGCCACCAAATGTAAGTATGTATTAAATATGTTAGATGCTGCCATTTTGAGTAAGTTTCATATTCCTCTGGATATTCCTAGAAGATGTTTCTTTGTGCCTGTTTTATGTTTGTTTGTAATGTATAAACTCAAAAACTAATAAACTAGTAACATAAGCTATATATTATTAAAATAAAACTGAGATTGCTACAAATATTACAATAATGTAACCCAAATATTAAATAATAATTTATTTCACTCTCTACTCGTACGAAGCCGGGGCGGATCGCATGTTTTGATTACGTCAGAAGACAAACGTAAGTTATATATCGTTATTTTAAGGACGGTTTCGGAGAAGAGAACCCCGATCGGACCCTTCAAATGGTAGCAGAGCGCAGTGTGGAAGTGATGTTGCATGAAGACCGGTCGGCCGCGCAGCACAGCGCTCTAGGGGCTCAGGGGATGTTTGGGCTCGATTCCACCTACGTGGGTGACACGCGACCCTCGCACGACCCTCAAATGGAGATGATATCGGAGTACGACCTCTCTATGTATAGAAAGTGTATGTATTATGTGTTTTGTTCCATGAACATTTTGTATATTATCAGTTTGTATAGGTATTAATTGAACTAAAGTAACACTGCAAATGGGCCGGTCACATAGCTTGAAGAACCGATGAAGAAGAAAGATTCTTGAGCAGCGATCCCGTTCGGCAAACGCAGTGTAGAACGACCTCCCACTAAGTAATCCCTGTAAGGCATTTGAGGTCGTCACTCGATGGAGTGAGGGAGTCGAGGGAGGCAGTAGTTGCATGTGGTTTAGGATCGTTCTTTATGGTTGACTAGAGGGGGGGGGGGGGGCTTATGTTCAGCCGTGGACAGATAATAGCTGATATGATGAATACAAAATGTTATTATAATATTTTTTTTATGGATAATGCTTATAATAATGGTATTCACTGGCAGATCACCAGTGAGAGATGATAGGTGAGGATGAAGACAAATTAGATGGCCCATACAGCGAATTCGTAATTCCTTATATTGTATAATGCAAATAAAGTATACTCATTCGTTCATTCGTAAGGGATTAATTGATGGTTTCCAGAGGAGATCGCGTGGCGATTGTCCTTACTTTCTGATTACTAGTGATCTACCACCAACTTCCTTTACTGACAATCTCCTCGTGGTGTAGCGATAGGTTCATTGATTTTAGTAAATATAGTCCCGGGTTCAATTAACGGTCACAATTTACTTTTTTATTTACTTTTCTAAGTCGGTTAGGGTATATAGGCGTCGGCAGAGTATTCGTATTGAGGATATTTACTCTCCTTGGTGCAACACGACTCTGGCGTTCCTCAGGGTGGCATATTATCTCCTCTTCTTTTCGCATTATTTATCAATTCCATCACACATAATCTTCGATCTTCCTATCATGTCTATGCAGACGATCTTCAAATTTGCTCTCAAGCCAGTTTTAGTAACATCACTGATGAATTTTTGTATCATTAATGAAGATCTTTCCCGTATATCAGACTGGAGCAAACGTAAGCTTTGCTCCACAGTAAATCCATCTAAAACACAATGTATTATTATCGGTAGCTCTCATTATATATCTAAATTAAATTTAATTAATCTTCCACTAGTAGTTTTTAATGGTCAAGTATTTAAATATAGTACTAATGTTAAAAGTGTGTGCTTCCCGTCAGATGCTTGCCTGACTATGCATTGCAACCAATTAGCAATTGCATGGTTCTTATTATTATTAATAAATAAATTATTTTACAGCAATTGCAGATGAAATTTTGCCGGCGGATTTATTTGAAAAAGGTAAATTTTAAATAATATTACTTAGTATTCTTTGTTTATAGTTTTGAACGCCAGTGAAATAATTATTCGACAGTGATATTAATATCTTATGTATAATATAGAGAAATACATAGGCTACTTTTTTATCCTGGTTAGTGAATAAAGTCACGGGGATAAAGTCCCAGCTAAAAGATAGTACTGAATAAGAATTCGGTACTAACTTTTACACACAACGAGTACAAATTGGACTTATGTATTTACATAAGTCCAATTCGTACTTGTAATTTTTTTTTGTATTAATCTTTTGATAATTACTATATTCACACAGACATCCCAGAAATTCCCGATATCCCGATTCCTGAAGTTCCAATTCCAGAAATACCTGCTCCTGGACCTCAACCAGATAAGTCTGTTATCTTTTACTAATAATATTTTTAAAAGATAAAATTATTTTCATTGGCATAGTGGACGAAATTGTAATTTTTTTTTATAATCATGAAGTTACAATTTCATTGTAAATTTTTTTTTTTTTTATTAATTTGAATTTTAACTAAGATATCGAATTGTAAAGGATGATAGGGATGATAGGTATAACATGATTTGCCTTAGAATATTCAAATTGTGCTGAGTAATGGTAGTAGGTATATAATAATTATGACAGGTATATGATAATATTTTTATCATTTGGTGGCGGCAAATGTATAAATCCGCTGAGTTATTGATACTGAATGGGTAATTAGCTATAATAAAATCATATTTACTTTTCCAGTCAGTTGCAAATGCCGCAAGATGTATCCCCAGTAATAGAACAAGGGAAAGACGTTGCAGCAAAAGAGGCCGCTATAGAAAATCAATTATTTGACATTCAATTAGAAGTACGTATCCATTAAATCATCATAATCATCATATTAGCCTTTAACTGTCCACTGTTGAATATAATCCTCCCCCTTGGGGGGGTTTTTCCAGCAGTTGCCACGTTTGGCAGGCAGATTGGCAACCGCAGTCAGGCTTTAGAGATATTTAAGAGGGACGCTGCTGCCCATCCTTCGCCCTCTTTTAGTCGGCTCTTACGACACTGGGAAAGAAAGAGATGGCCTATTCTATGCCGGGACCACACGGTCAAGACATTTAATATTATGATTAAAATATAAAAGAATCAACGAAATCGATTTCCAATGAGTGAATATATGTATATAGAATATAGAATATATATATATATATATATATATATATATATATATATATATATATATAAAGCATGTCTATAGGCGACGGTTATCATTCTCCATCAGGTGGGCCGTCAGCTTGTTTGCCATTCTAAGTTGTATAAAACAAACAAGAATATAGTTGAATTAATTTCATTTATTTGACGTAGTTTTTTTTTTATTATTTTATACTAAACAATTAGATGTCCGCCCGATTTGTCAGTTATTTTGTATTTTGATTTAAACTGTTCCTTATACCTATTCGTGATTTATGAATTTTCTAATTTTATATCACACTAACTCATTGCCACATATTGAGTTAGTGTAATGGATAGAGCAGAAACAATGTTGATACTCATATATATTTTCTCTGCAATAGGAATTAGAAGACATCGGCCCTCCGGTTAAACGAAGGCGTGTGAGGAAGCTAATAATCGACAAGAAAATAAAAATTAGCGCCGACATTCTACACGCGAGAATAGGCAATACAAACTTGGAGTTGCGATGCGAAGTATTTATTTGGCTTTATTATATTATCATTTTAAATATAATTTACACAATTTTTGAATAAAATTTTATTTACAATATAATATGTAATAAATCTGAAGAGACAGAAAGTCAAGTCATCTTTAAAACGGCGCATATGTGCTTTAGACATGCTTTGCTAATAGTTGAAAATGCCGCTTTTGATACTTGAGTGGGCATCAGACAATTCTGTTATGGGCACGGTCCACTTGTCCCCCCCCCCCTCCTCCTTAAATATACCTATGCTTTTGTTTCACTCGTGTTTCTGCCGAATATTGCTGTTTGTATGCTGCTTCGCTTTGAAGGGATGTCGGGTATGCTACACAAATTACAGTTAGTTTTCAGGAATAGGTTTTTAATATGGAGATGGACTGAAAAAACAATATATCATCATTCCTGTTCATCCCTAGAATGCTGTAAGAGGATATTTTTTTAATGGTTGATAATGTAATGGTAACCCCGCTTGCGCTATCGGTATACACTGGCGGGGTACTAGTGAGGGATGATAACTGAGGATGAAACAGGTCAGTTAACTTATTATGACCAATTCCACAAGAATTAACCGCGATGATTTCTAGGGAGAATCGTATGGAGGACAATCTAATAGGGTACATTGCTAGCAATAAGGCGGTTAGAGCGCATTTTTTTATGGGTGAAAATGGTATGGTAACCCCGCCTGCGCTAACGGGATACACTGGCGGAGCACCAGCGAAGGGTGATAGATGTGAATGAAAACAGGCCAGTTAGCCCATCATGATAAATTCATCAGGAATTAACCATGATAGTTACCAGGGGGAACCGCGAGGAGGTCGACCTGGTTGGGTACATTGCCAACGATGGGATTCTCAGTCTCCATTACTAACAATCCCTTTCCCCCGGTTAGAGCGCATTACCCCACTGTAAGAGGACACTTCCAGTGGCGTAACAATAGTGTGGCAGGGCTGGCAAAATATCACGGGCCTCCGGCTCAAGAGGCCGCGAGCTCAGAAGTTTTTTTTTTTTTACATTGTACCTGAGTACTTTATTTTACTTGAAAAGTATTTTTTTTTACTGATAGGGCCTCATCAAAAGAATTTGTCACAGGCCCCAAATGGTATAGTTACGCCACTGGACACAGCCACTATCTATCCACTGCTGAACATAGGCCTTCCCCATAGACTCCTATAAGAGGGTACTATGGGAGTAAAATATAGATATACCAAAGAAAACTGGAACTTATAAACCGCCTACGCATTTTATTCACTAATATTAAAATCCTGAGAAGAGCGTTGACCGCGAGACATAGACGTTGGAAGTAGGAAGTTATTAACCCCTTATAAATTAAAAAAATAAGATTTTATAAACTTAAAATAAAACAATCTTTAGTCATTTAGATACTTTTTAATAATGTAAAAAGTCATTATCTATCGATGTAGAGTTATTTAAAAGTAAATACGTTCTACGTATATACACTATACATTGTGAATTTTGAAAATGTAAAATTTAATTTGATTATTTGCTGTGATATCTCTATATTATGTATTTATACATATGAACGTGCTGCCATTTTTCTTTATAACACGTAACTGATTTCCGTTTACAAATAAAATCCACTACGTGTACAATTTTACTAAAATATAATCGTTTATGTGGGTAGTGGGTACATCGTGCGACTATGAATAGTATGTAGGTAGATTTTGTTCCACGTTCCAAAAAAAAATACGGACTATAAATCGTGATTAAATTAATATTGATAAGTAATTTCATTATTCTTTTTTAAAACGAATATAACGCATCGATAGCTGACAAGATGTTTCATAGACACATTAGATTTAAAATGTTTGAATTTAGAACGCGGAAAAGTGTAAACAAATAGTTTTGCTCCGCAAAGTAAAACCTACTTCAATCGTGACAAAATATATAACCAACACTGGAGTAATTACTTTATCGAAAGGAATTATCAAAATCGGCTCACACTTGGTGAAGATGCCGCGTAATATAAATAAAATACAGACGAGTTGAGAGGTTCTTTTTGGAAATCACTAAGAAAATTGTGGGTTTTATATTATTATTTAAATATATTTAAACTACCTTACGTTATTTTCAGGATAGTTCAGATGATATAGTGGATTTGAGACTGCCTGCTGCCGTGTACTTTCGACGGCCGTGTCACGCTGGATCGAAAGTTCACCCGAACATTGCAACAGTGTTGATGCGACTCTTCGAACGGAATTTGGGAGTTATCGCTAATCCAACGCTTACCGACAGAGAAATGGAGGTAATTTGTACTTTTAAATACAAATAAAGGATGTAGATTTGGCTCACTGATTGTAACAGAATCCAAGTGGACTATATTTGTAACTTATTAGGCGCAAATGTACTCTCTACGCGTAAATGTAACTCTATTCTGAAGATTCCTAGAAGAGAAGAAAGAAGAGAAGTTAACGGACCACCTTAAGTTGTCATTGTTTCTTGTTACGTTGTTTGTTACAATAACCACTTCTTTTATTTTACGTTTTGTTTACTTTGTTTTATAACATCGTGGATGTAGTGTAGGATTTTTTCGTGCAGTTCGAGTGAAGGATGTTTAGTCTACATCTAAACATCTCTCCATTGCTGGACGAGTCTCGTTCCAGCAGTAGGGTCTTAATAGATTCATATCTTGGATTATATGTATAGATAGAGTGTCTTCATATAAATGCTTCGTGAAAAGCGGGTCAACTTTTTCATACAATTTTACGTGATAAATAGTTATGTGATTCCTTTATAATTTCTATATTTATATTGTCTTAAAATTAGTGCATCTTTTTAATGCGTAAATATCCATTTTATTTATTAAATAATACGTCAAGATATATTGTATGCATATAGAATACTGATAAAAAAACGAGTCAAACAAAAACTTGACCCGTTTTTGAGACTCGATGCTCTATCTATATAATTCAAGATTTATATATTAAATATATATAAATCATATTCGTTTACAGGAAGCAATGGCCCATCAACATATCAGGCCACGTACAAAGTCTATTCTCCAACCAATTGTGGAGGAAAATCCTATTGATATAGAGAAGCATCAACCGATGGTTACAGAGTCAGCACCAGAAATAGAAGCCTCCAAAGACGTCAACAACTTACTTACAGAGTTTCAAGAAATACAACAACAGATTGACGTGTCTGACTTACCTACCCAAAAGTTGCAGTCACCTCAAAGCGCTAAACGTAAAAGCGATCAAGAAAAACCCGTAAGTTTTATGTTTACATATATCATCATCATCATACCAGGCGTTAATTATCTACTTTTTTTTAATGGATGATAATGGAATAGTGGTAGATGAGAATGAAAACAGGCCAGTTAACCCATCATGATGAATTCATCAGGAATTAACCATGATAGTTTCCAGGGAGAAACGTGAGGAGGTCGACCTGGTTGGGTATATTGCTAGCAATGGGATTCTCAGTCTCCATTACTAACAATCCCTTTCCCGCCAGACAAGTGGACTACACCCTGTCAGGTCAATCTCCACGTGGCTCCCTCTGAAAATCGTCGTACAGAACTGATCTGCCTTTTCATTCTCACCTATCATCCTCTCATTGATGCCCCCGCGTATATCGTTAGCGCAGGCATTTATCATGCACTTTTGACAACAAAATTTACATACATACATATTAATTTACAGACAAAAAGACACCGTTCCTTTGGATATATAACATTCCGACAGCACCAGGAACCCGCTACCTTGCCATTTATTACTGGTAAATTAATAATACCTACTTAATGTTTGAATGTGGATGACGTGGATGAAGCGAGACATATATAGATAGTAGGAGCATAAAATGGCTTTGGATCCTTTATTGATATAATACAACTGGCGTGAAGAGACATGGGTATTTCATTATAATATTAGCCGTCGATTGCTATGGGGGGGGGGGGGGGGGGGATTAGCTATTATTTCCCACATTTGGCTTTGGTGATGTTTAACCCTTTGAGTGCCGACGAGTGCCATCGCGCTCGTGCGCTTTGCAACTAAAAGTGCCACGAGCGTCATAGCGCTCTTGAAATCAGTCGCTGTTTAGCTTGCTGTAAAAAAAATATTAAAATTGGATAATTTTTGGAGGCGATAGTTTTTTTAGAGATAAGGGTACATGACATCAACACGACAAAGGTTTCTTTGGTATTTTTAAGTAGATATGAGTAAAAATCAATGGCACTAAAAGTGGTTAAAGAGAAACACTACTGCCTATTCCTTGGTCATTAAGCTTCCTTGGTCGTCTCTTACAACACTTACGGAAAAACAAGGAGTGGCCCATTCTACATCAGGACCACACGGCGAATGGACATTTACATAGTATAATATATACATATATATATCTTTATTATTATTATACTTGTATAAATTTTAGTGACTGATGCCGACAAAGAAAATATATCAAAAATATCATTGGAAAACGTGGACAGATCCCTGATAGTACCGGAAGAGCAGAGTAGTGTTGAGAAAAATCTGATGACAATGCTAGAAGAAGCTGGCTTAGTTGACGTCACCACGGCTAGAGTTGTAGAACAGACACAGGAGATTGCGAAATCTCTAGAGAAGTCTACACGAAAACATGGAAGCGATACGTCGGAGACGCCGCTAGGCAGTCTAGACAGAACCAAGGTCTCTCTTGGAGATTCTGACCGAACTACAGACTCTAAGCGATTTATACAGTAAGTTTTAATTCTTTTATGTTTGGGCATTTACGAGTGTTACGTTCACTACCTTCGCAACAATAAATAACGACTAATGTCTTTGACTACCCTATCAGGAATAAGTCGTGTGAGCACATTTATTTTTGAATAAAAATTTTTATTTAGACATGTTTGGATAAATAAGTTTTTTTTGGATTAATCGAGCGAGCAGAGAAGGAGGGCTTATCTCCTTTGTTTGTAATATACCCTGTCAGGTTAACCAGCTCGCGGTTCTACCTGAAAACCATGGGCTAATTGACCTGGTTTCATCCTCATCTATCACCATTCACTGGGTCAGTGTATTTTTTTTATTAATTTATTTATTTAAGGTAAACAAACAGCTAAAATAATACATAATTATATACTTAAATAGTAATTTGGTAGCCATTAGAATTTTCACAAAATAAAATACAAGTAAACGAAACACAAAATTAGACAATACTAAATTAAACAAAATTTAACAAATATAAACAAAATTAAACAAACAAATACTATTGAAAACCACAGCAACATTGTATACCGATTCATTATAATCCATTAAAAAACATAAATCAACCAAGCTAGAATTAAATTTACAACCACTAATATCTATTAATGCACGGGGGCAAACCCGATGACTACAACTAGTACTAAATATAATTCACAAATTAATTTATTTATTCGTGTTTTGATACTAATTTACTAGGCCAATTTAATTAAAGCTTGGCAGAAATAACTTAAATATGGCTTTAACATATTTATTTTAGCGACCAATGGGGAACAACGGGAACAATGGTGAAAATTTTGAATTATAAGAAGATGGAGAAGAGGCCGTTGACAGTCCGCTATCTCATCTCGAAGGGCCCGGTGCTAGCTGGCTACAAGTGTATCATTGCTGCTCGTTGTTTTACTTCAATACTCAGTAAGTTACTATAAATTCTTTGTTTTATGACTAAAGAATCGATTTAGATGAAAATTGAACTAATATACTATACTAGCTAGCTATAATATTAGCTTTATAAGGGCAGGAAGATTTTATACTACCTTTTTCCTTCAACTTGGTACACATGGATTTTGGAAGTACTTCTAAGTAGCGTCTCAAGATGAAACATAAACCAGCATTTAAGTTAGGAATACTACTGTGAAAATAGTATCCAATTTGGTGTAGTAATTCTTTGCGTGATGCCAAAATCGTGGCTTCTATTCGTTTTATTAAGACCATACCAATTTTTCGTAACGATCTTCTAAGTAACCTATTTTTTTACAGAACTGAAACAACATGGGTTTATTTGCGTAAGTAAAGATCCTGAAACATTGGAAGTTACCGATATATTCTTGGGTCCAAAATTTGATAAGTTGCCATAGGCAACTTTCTAATTTTACTGCATAATACCCTAATTATTACGATTGTATCTTTATTTGCGATAATTTACTCATAGTAGTATGCATTGACGTTTTATATTTTTCTATTCAATTTTATTGTCATTTCGAAGAATTAAACATGTTATTTAGTATGTAAAGGTTGTAGTTTTATTAAATTAAACCCAATATTATTGATATGATCAATTTATTTCATAATTTGTATATAATGATATGATTTCTGTACAATTTACATATGTCATCAACTAGATTCAAGTCAACTAGATAATTTTATGAGTATCTTACTTTTAGGTAGGTAGTGGCTTAATAATTTACAATAAACGCAGATAAAGCTGTACAATAAACAGTTGACTTAATTATTTAGTTGCTCTACTTAATTTTTACAAAATAGTCATATACACTATAGAATTGGAATATTAATTAATAACCTAACAGTTACTTATGCTTAGGCAATATCTTTTTACACATTATGAAGCTTATAAAATAGAACAAAAAACATTAAGGAGTTTTAATCGGAGCTTGCCTCCCTTGGTATAAGCATATCACTATGTTTTTTTTATACAAAATCAGTCTCCTACTATTTGTTAGCGAGCTTTATCGCGACAAAAGCGTTACGCTACTACAAATCAACTAATGATTGATACCATTTTAAATTTCATTAACACCGGCAGTCATGCGATGGACGTTCAGTACTGGACATTTGGACAAAGTTCAACAATAGTATAGTTATGTATAAATTAAAGTCGCACACGTATAGGTTTGACGTGTGAATAAATTCTTTAAACTAACTAACTCTAAGCTATTTATTATACTCCTCCAAATCAAAGCACACTTGAGTGTTTCACAGCCTTACTACAGTCGTTCCAAGCTCTCACTCAATTAATTAATTTGTTACAGTCTGTCCTTATAGGCTTAGGAATGACAATAATTAGGTTAAATAGCTACCATTATTCGTCCAACACCATCTCACTTTGTATTCTATTTTATAATAAGCATTTTCTCAATATAGAACCTCACATACAATAAAATAACTAATAAATTCATTAGGTATGTAATATTTGACACTTAATAATTGTATTTCATTTAATGTAAACGTAATTTACACATGAAAAATATATTCCACTAGTACATTGTTTAAGAATAATATGGTGAATTAAATGTTTACTCATAAATTAATTATCGAAATATTTAACTGGAAAAAATCCAGTGTACTCAACGAACACAAGATACTTGTAAATTGATAGAATTTTAAATATGAAACAGTAGAATATTATATTAAAATCTATCACAGATCACTCGCTACATTCCGAGTGTGCCTTTATAATGGAATGGTTGGTCTGTCTGTAAAATTAACGCTACATTACCGCACACATGAAAATGCTTCGAGACGATCCTGCATTTAGGCGGTAGAAATGAAAGGATTAATTTGATTTAAATGAAAAAAAAAAGCATGGCTCTGTGAACCTGTAAGCGAAATTTATAATAAATATTTTCAATTGACTGGCCAATATTACTTAGTAACATAGTCTATTAAAAATCCTCTCATTTTTAATGCAATTAGGATAAAACCACTTCACGGAGCCAGCGAGTCGCTATCATAGTCTTTGACGTCTAGATCGTTGTCGGTCGACAGAACCTCACCGTAATTCATGCTCTCGAAATACTGCTGCGGCTTGCCGTTCCACAGCGAGTCTTCGCCGTGCGAGTTGATCGACTTGAGTGTTTTGTCGATCGAGTCGGCGTTCTCGTAGAGTATCGACTTGGTAAGTTCGAGCGCCAAGTTCTGGGGCGTCTCGTACGCGAGTTGGTAGTCGAGCAGCAGATCGGCGGGAAGCGGCCGCGAGCGGACCGCGTGCGTGTGCAGTCGAGAGAACAACGGCGCCAGACGTTCCGTGCGAGCCACGTACTCGGCCACCAACGGCGCCCGGGGGTCACTGTGGGGGTCACCGCGGCACTGCGCCTGGCCAGATTTCTGCCAAAATTCCCAACAATCATAACCTCTCGTTTCCACCTGCATACACGTTGTAATGCATGTGTAATTAACCTACACATGTAAAAGTAAATTATACATGTGTCAAGTCGTATATCTATATAACCATATTGTATTTTTTGGTGGAAACGCGGTGTTATGTAGCTCTAGCCCACCGCTACGATTGATTCACATGTGATCAACATGCTACCTTTAATATATAAACGTCTCATCAACAGTGAATTGGAAATTTCTCCAAAGACATGTTGATGGCATATGGCGTAGCACCGGACTTAAACACTCGATAAATACTTGTGATAGTGCACGGGCGCCCACATATTACACAAACTACTATATTTATTGAGTGTTAATTAATGCAGACATTTATATTTTAAGCTTAAATTTATTAAAGATATAAGCTTCAGATATAAATATGGAATATATTACTGGACTTTAGTTCTAATATTAGGTAGGTTTCAAAAGTGATAATAACTTATTGCTCTTTTATTAAGTTTATCGTTAGAATAAAGCGGAATTATTCTACTATCCGCTATATACAAGCGTTATCAATTTAGAGCACTACTGTTTCTAACCAGTTTATAGTATCACTTTATTTTTTTTTTGTATTTAATCTCAATTACCCATTTGTGATTAAAATATGTGTATATGTGCATCAAACATTGTTAGGGCCTACAGGTGGGTCAAATGTTCCAACAGTGCGCATAGCCATGTGGGAGTCTCAAATTTTACTTTGTGTTTAGCCAATTCAGTTGCCATTATGCCACTATGTCAAAATACAAAAATAATAATAAACATAAAATAACAAATAAACAAAATTAACAAAACTCTTCACACCATTGTGACATCTAACTAATGTGATGACTAATCTAGTGACAAAGTGTGATTAATGTATGGTATTTTTGTTTTCCACTTACCAAAAACAATGTGGCCTTAATGTTCTCTTATGTCACTGAATGTGTAAAACAATTCTAGAAGTTGAAATGGAATTGATACAGGTTAATAAATTTGTATTAATTAAAACCCATGCCAAACAAAGTCATCGTGCGGGAGATGAGTGTAAGACATTGGGGCAAGATTACTACGTTTATACATTTTTCCATATTCATTTTCCACTAATCCCTTGCACGAAAACTTTTACAAATAACAAATATTAGTATGGGTATTCTGTGATAGCCATAAAAATCTTTACAATTACATATCTTATTCATTAACAATTGTGAAAAATATAATTTTACTGTCAATTAAACATGATTCATTCACAGATTAGGCATTCACAATTTTATAGACAATCTAAAATACATTTACTGAAGATAATCATATTAGGTGTTATTGTTATGTGGCAAATTATCTAGAATATTCGAGCAGACTATTATCAGTTACCAATACAATATCGACCGTACACTATAGATATGATTTTTAGGCCATCACTGTGTCTGTATGATCATTAGTAACAACGTGGATAACAGATAATTAGTATGAGAACATGCTTTCCTACGCTACGCACCGGTACGATCTACAACGGAACAAAACAAAAACTACAACTCAACTCCGATTAAACCAACGCAAGTTATCGCAACAGGAACGGAACTGAAGCGAAACGGAAAGTACATGAAAACAAAACTTACGATCGACATAATGGCATGGTACTACGCGTCGGCGGCGGGCGGCGACGGGGACGATCGGGCCGCGCGCTTGGGGACCAACAACCAACAAAACATGAGAACGGTCACGGCGGTTCGTTAAGTCACTGGGTGCACTCTCACACGGTGGGTTTAGCACTCGGGCACTGTTAGCGGCTACGAGCCGGAATCTTTATTAAAGAACCATGAATTCCAGAAGGAGCGGACGCGCACCTTGTTGTCGTGTGGCGGGGAGCGGCGCACGGGCACCGCCGACTTGGGCGCCGACGTGGAGCTGCGGCTGCGCGCCGACGCCGCCGACCGCGCCGAGCGCACCGAGTGCGCCGAGTGCGCCGACGGCGGGCGCGGCGGCGCGGCGCCGGCGGCGGCGGCGGCGGCGGCGGCGGCGGCGGGCGGCGGGCGCGGCGCGGCGCCCTTGTGCGCGGTGTGCAGCGGGATGCGGCTGGGCCGCGCGGGCGGGCGGCGCGGCGTGTCGCAGTCGTCGTCGGCCGCCTCGGGGATGTGCAGCGGCTCCATGTCGCGCATGCTGCTGTGCGCGTCGCGGCTGCGCTCCAAGCTCTCGCTCGCGCTCCGCTGTTTGCCCTCGAGCTGTCTCACTCGCGCGCGGGCGCCCTCTAGCTCTATATTTTTCTCTTCGAGCTGCAACAGTTTAAAGATATTTTTATAGTAATTATCTTAAATGTTTTTTCGTTTATACAGCTTGGCTATTAAATTACTTGCAACGGTTTGTATAAAATTTGGTTGAGATAGAATGAGTTGAATGATTGAAGGGACATCAAGAATTTAACGAGCATCACTACATATTTAGAAAACGATTCTCACACAAAAAAAAAAAAAGAAATTTATATATTATAGTTTGCAAATTCGAATCTACTAATGTTATTGGCAATACTAAGAAGAAGAGAATAAACAAAAATCCCTAGTTTTAGTTAGTTAAAAAAGTTTAATTGACAAGCACACAAAACTAATGAGTATAGCATGCAAAAAAAGAAAATAAAGAGGAGTGAAGAATATTCATATATAAGCAGATGCCACTGCATCCACTTTATTATTTATTTATCATTAAAAATTCAATGGAAAAGATGTTGGTAATTACCTATAATAGTGATAAAGAAGTCGGCTTAGTGCGGCCAACCGTTAAGAGTAGAAGATACTTTTATATGATTGATCGCATTCATGCACCATAGGGTTCGTAAGTTTTAGAATCTCAGGATGGTGATCACATGTCGTGCTATTATATTTGTGATATCATAATAATGTACTCGTGACAATTACCCTAAATTTAAGGTCCTCGTTGAGGTCTCGCGCACGCTCCAGTCTCTCCAGCAACAGTGATCGCCGCGCAGCCGCACGTTTTAACCGCTCGAGTAACACCTGCAAATTACACATATACAAATATATTAGCTTATATACTATGTACCAAGACCATAATCATATTACGTTCAATTCGAATTTTGAAGTGCTTCGATAAATAACCTTATGCCTCTTCGGTGGTATTTTTATACATAGTGAAAGTGAGAATAAAAAAGTTTGCGATTGAACATATTTTTTATAGCCATACACCAATGCAAAACTGAAACAACGATTCTGAGATAAAACAAAATTCATTTTTGGCATGGATCTCTGAAATTTCTTTACAGATAAAAGAAATTTCGGAGATCCACGCTTCGTTTTCTCAGGAGAAAACAAAGAAAAATTATATGTATATGTGATTTTTTTCACATACAACAGCTTTACCACTGGCAACGTTAAAGGCATCATTTGGACGCTGTCGGCTTTTACCAGGCTTTAAATATCTTCCAGCCAGTTATCAGTAATGGTACTTGCAAATTTCATCTTTTAAACTAGAACACAGTAAGCAAAAAAAAGTTTTGGCAAAAAATACAATTAAATAAAGGTATCATATAGTTTATGGGCATCGAAGATTTAGTAGAATAACGCAACGGCAAAATCAAGCCAGGAAGTAAACATAAATTAGTATGCTCAAAACTACGACTTACTAGCATTTTTTCTTCATTAAAAATAAGATAACCCTGGGTGAGAAATGTGCAGCAATTAGAATGTAGTAACAATAACGGTTACAATTAAGTAATTGCATCAGATATAACTGTTGAAAGTTAAAATTAATGAATCGTTGTGTCAAGCAGTACATAAAGCTAATTTTGTGTACATAATGGATACGGAAATTTGTATGTATCTTACTAAACCTTTTGAATACGGCGAATGGTTTCAAAGCAATTAAGCGAACAGAGAGAACAGTGGCGTAAGGAAATAGGCTCGCGATCAACAGAGGTCAATCGCATTATGCCTGTTATTAGGTAAGTTAGCTCTGTAATAGCCGATAAGCCGCTCTGTTCTTTTAGTATCAAAGTACTTTTTTATTACGACTGGCGAACAAGTTGTCATCTCACCTGATCGAAAGTGATGACCTTCGTTTAGACAAATAAAACCATAAAGGTCATGGAACGTTCTGTGTTTATAGAACTTTGTTATTGCCATATTGTTAGTCAGTTTAAAACTGGCTCGTAATGTTCGTTCGATGAATTAACTATCACCGATAAAAAAAATGCGTTCCCTCAGAGACGCCATAAGTAGTTGTTTTTAGACGAGCATCTAGTGTAGCAGTAAGTAAATTGTTAAGAAGACTCACTCTGGTATAGTCAGAAGATATTGGATTAAACTCTGACCATTTTGAAATTTTTTTTCACATTTCAGTACTAGTTATCCTGTAACACATTACGAGCAATTATAGTTTGATAGTCCTTTATATTACATTTGTTAAAATTATTATTTTACATAACAATGTTACTAATATAATAAAATTGTAACTAGACAATGTCTGTACATTTATATGGAAAATATTTAAGAAAAAATTATATAAGCGGTCTTAAAGAGATAAAAAAAGCCAAAATAATGTTTTTTTTAGAAATTTTGTCTGTCAGTCTGCATGTTTGTTCCGGCATCGCGAAAAAACTACTGAAGCAAATTAAATTCCGTTCACAGTTGTGATCTTGAAGGTGTAATTTAAAATCTGGTACATATTTTATCTTAATATACTATTCCATTAATATATATTCCACCTAGAAATGGTCTGTTGCATTGGTTTTCCTTCTGTAATCCACGCGTACAAAGTAGCGGGCAAAAAGCTAAACATAAATATGTCTGTTACAGTTAAAACTACTTTTGGGAGTTTTGTCTGTAATACATAAACCGCTTCTATGATTTACAAACGTAATGTCTTAAATATTCATATTTTTAAAAGTGTTGAGAGACCGTTCACCCGAGCGGAGTCTCATGAAGAAATTGAATTTTAAATTCTGGCAACTAAAAACTAAAACCGGTATTTATTTAATCTGATGTCCAAATCAAACTCTGAATCATTTGATCGTTAGCAAAACACAATTCGATTATCTCACATTATACCATTGAAAATTACGTGTTAAAAAGGGAGGTGCAATAGATTAAGATTTATGTACCTTCTTATTTAGAATATTCGAAATATTATGCATATAGATATAATCCTTTTAGATGTATTAGGTATCATTTAGATATACCCATTATTTTTTCATTTTAATTTTTTTTTTTAATCTCTACTTATTCACAATTTCTATCAAACATTCAAAGGCTGACTAGAAAAAATCTCTTATGGTTTAAGCCTGCTATTGTAATCTTTATTTTTTATAGAATTTTGTATACTATAATTTAAGACTTTACACAATAAAGTGTTACAAACAAACAAACGAAAGAAATGTAAATCGCAAACTTGACATTAGCTTTATATTCACAGCTTGCTCGGGTGGTTGGCCTTTCATGAACGTGTGTCAAGGTTCGATTCCGCAAATTGGAACTAGACGGCATTTATTGAAATTGAAACGATGTCTAGTTCGCTTGCAAAAATACTAAATTATGTAGGTAATATTTATTCAGAATATCTTCGAACACATCGAACACACTCTTAATTTTTATTTACCCATATCTATAAATAAATATGATACTGATTAAGCATATATTTATAACAAAATATAGATTTAGTTCTACAAAAAAAAAAAAAAAACAAATCGTGACATTTACAACGAACCAACTTGAGTGTCAATCTCAATGAATGCAAAAAAAACAAACAAAAAAACATCGCGTAACACACATATAAAATATTCAGACCTATTCAAAACATTGTCCTTTATGAAGTCGCTTTCAAAAACAAAACTGCTGTATTTGTAATTTATTCTACAATCAATTTGATACGTGACTGTAGTCACATACCTATTTGAAATATAACCGAAACCTGCATTCATAAAAAATAACGATTTAAAAACGCTTGTAAACAAGTCTTAGAATAAAGATGAATTTGAATATAGAATTATAAATTCAAATTTACTTCGAGATTTAGAATGTGTAACATATTGAGTTCCCATTATTATTAAATAAATAATTGATTGCAATAAAAGCATATAAAACATAATTATTGTAATATGCATTTTTATAATGAAACCTTGACGTTGTATCGTTATTATATTAAACAGAGAGAGTGCAATAGCCTTCCGTAGCAATGTATTAGTGGTATTAGGTACATTATATGTAGTTAAAAACGATAATTCATAAGGAAACCGATCGTTACTTACGATCAGTTAGCCAGAATAGGCCAAGGTTTATGACGCACAATTATAAATATGATATTAGTATTGTTTAAAAGAATCTTAGGCAATTTATCCTAACTGTGTCATGTTTAAGGTCGTTAAAAGCAATGTGGTAAATTATATTTTCATATGTTACTAATTTGTGGGTTTTCAGCTTTCTTTATACAGTCCGGTAATAATAAAAGATGTCTTAAGTATTTTTACATATTTTTTTTGTTTCAAACCCTTTGTTGTATCCCTTATAAAAGTACCTGATATCTTCAGATATATACAAAAGTTTATATACCTATAAGAGTATCTATAAGAGTAATTTAGAAAAGAGACAAACATTATAAATATTAAAAATAAAAAAATTGCGTTATTTAACTTTCCAGATCCTTCGTGCAAAATGTTGCAATTCTATTCTAGTTCAGCCTTAGAATTTTTATATTACAATATATATGATCGTCAATAAAAAATTTCGTTAAAAGTACGTATAGTTTGTTTCAATGGATCGTTTCTAAATTAAATTTCATTTAGAGAGATGTTATTAATTAGTGATTAATTAAAATAATCAATTACTCATTTTTTATTTGTATCACTGTTCATCGGCAGACCTATCCTATGGTGGGTTGAATTAACGTTTGTTTACATTTTCGTTAAATTCACTTGAAGCAGTCTATAAATTGGCTGATAATGATTAAGTTATCTAAGCCTGGTTAGTGGCACAGGCATCGCGGATTGTGCTTAATGTGGTGCTTGACTGGCCTCCGACACACTCCATTAGCTTTATTTACTGTTCCGCGTAATTTTACCGAAATCGTGGTTACGTCAGTAGGCACAAACCCCTCGTTAGTGCAACTATTTTGCGTTCAAGTCGCACGTACTGCGTTACCTCACTTATTCTGCAATTAACTACCTCAGAATACAAAAAAAAATGGTCAAAACTATTTAGTAAATTGCTCTTATGTAATATTTTAGGGTAATGGCACAGCGTAATGAATAGTCCTATATATGTGTACATAATTACCATTTATGCCTTCTATTCTATTTTTTTTTTTCGAAAACATAATCATACATTATTAACGTGTTTTTAGAATTTATAGCTCTAGTATTGGAGTATGATAATGACGGTAATTTGATACACATATACACGTGTGAAATATTGTTGATAAATCTAATTATGAGAATTAAGTCGTAATAGTTTTCTGAGATAGCTTTATTAAAAACATACTTAGACAGGGCGAAATAGAAATCGTTAAACTAAAAATATCTCATGCTATAAAATACATTATCAGGGCAGAAATTTCTCAAATAAAAAATTTCAAAACGAAGAATCAGATACACGCGATGTTTGTACCGACAATGAGCTGTAACTGTTTATATACAACAATTTTCATTTTTTTACAACATAATTACATTTCTATTTTGCCAAAGGTTGACTGGAAGAAAATGCAATATAACATTAAGCCTACTTTATGTACCAAAATTTTTTGTAATGTAGTTAATAAAAAATAAATAAAGAAATGAGCACAGTTTTTTTTTACCATTTATCGACTCATTATTCTTTGGGAAAAATTCTCTTTCATTAGTACAACACTCCCTCAAAAGTAAGCTAATGATTTCGATTATACCCTGTATATAGAGTTTTCACTTACATGTAATATTTGGTACTCACCTACTAAGGTACTAGAACAATAGTTGATGTTATTCTAATTATAGAATGACCTCCTAATCGAAAGTATACAATAGTGAAACCGTAGCCAAACACTCGAAAGTTGAAATGCGAGATAACTGCATTTGTTTTATTACGCTGCCCACGTAAATTGCCCTATTGCAACTCTCGCACTGTTTATCGACTGATAGTAAGTACGTGGGATCTCTAAAATAGATAATACACTAGAACCTGTCTTTGAACATCGACGGATTTTCTTTCAAAGACAACTACTGTAAACTCGAAAAGTCCTACGAGCTTAACAGGGTGCATTTTTTATTGTACATAGAATGCAAAAGACTAACTGCTAGAAAGTGATAACCGTACTTACAAAGATGAACAGCACCATGGGCATCAAGTAATACTTATAGTATCTTACGTTGTTATTCCAAAAGACTATGAGGTATTCAGTTAAATTAGGTGGGTCGATAGCTTGTTTGTCATTTTATGTTGCATAAAAATCTTCATTAGCAAAACTATATTTGGTCTTTACGTTCCTTACATAAATTGCCCTATTACAATTCTCCCATAAACACTGATAGTACGTTTGAACTACACACAATACAAAACTGATTGTGTTCGCTGTAGGTGAGGAGTTCCTTGAAGTTTCAAGGAGAATCACGGCGAACTTCATGAATAACGCATTACGCTTTTAAGTTGCCTATGTGAATTGTGTTATGCAAACTCTCTTTTAAAGCCTGAATAAAATTGTACTTGCGTAATGTGCTATCCAATTCTGTATTCGAAATATTTTTACAATCAAAAAAGTATGCTGAATTATTTCTCATCACAGATTTTAATGGACTTATGACACACAGAACAGAGCGTAAGGCTCTAATATCTAATTTGAAAAGTGGTAAATGTGAACCCTGGACTGATGTCCAGGCTGGAATGGTAATCCATTCCACCAGACGTGGAGGTTCTCAATTTATTTTTATGTTTTGTATATTACGTGATATTGCAATAGATAATACTTGTATATTTCCATGTTGGTCCTGTATTAATCTTGCTATGGTTATGCCGCTGACTGGAAGTGATTTTTTACGCAGCAAAACCACTTCCAGTCGATATCACTTTCGAGGTTCACCAATGGCTGAGACAACCTTACATCATGCACGTAAGTTTTCTGAAAGCACATTCCACTTATAGACAATACACACCTGATTCTGTACGGTGGAGGTGAGCAGCTGTCTTTGAAGTTCGACGGGATTGCTCTCGAGGAGAATCGCCGCGAACTTCTTTGAGTCCGGCGTGGCGACGCGAGGGGCTCGGGAGGGTGTGTCGAGCGCGGAATCGAGGCGGCCGAGGGGCGAGCTGGTGGCCAGCGCCGCGGCCGGCGGGCTGGCCGCCGCCTCCGCCTCCAGCTGCGCCGCGCGGGCCAGCAGCGCGTCGCGCTCGCATCGCAACCGCTGCAGGTCACCGCACTCGCCGCATTCACCTAAGATGATCAATTATGACCACGATTTAACAAACTTATACGTTTATATGCGATGGTTAGCAATTTCCATCAGGTGGACAGCCAGTTTGTTTGCCATTCTAAGTTGCACAAAAAGAAACTTAACAGCTTAGATGATGCAACTTAGAATGACAAACAAGCTGATGGCCCACCTGATGGAAAATGGTAACCGTCGCCTATGGTCATGAGCAGTACCATGTACATAACAGATTTTACTGTTTCACTTATGATATCCCCATGCGTTGCCATTCCTGAGAACTTAGGTGTTATTCCCTGTACCCTGTAAATTCACTGCCATATTCAACCCTTTTAACTGAAACAGTCATGCAAAAACAATTGCTTCACGGTAGAAACACGAATGGGACGGAGGTGCCCAAGCAAAACGACTTTTGTACAAAGTCTGCCTCTGGTAAAAGATGATTAATTAGGAATAGAATTTAACATACTTTATAATACATTTGGAGAATACTTAATTGCAATTCGAATACTCCAAAATGTAAGAGTAATAGTAGTTTTTTGTATATTCAATATGTGCAATGTAGCATTGAAATTACAAAACACTTATTATTACAAGAATACATCTAAGAACTCAAATATAACGCATAACCATGAGCATCAGTGTATTTTATTACGACCATGTTGTTGTTCATGCCTATAAGAAGTTTCATCAGATGGGCCGTAAACTTGTTTACCGTTCCAAGTTGCATAAAAAGTTGAACCTCAGCCAAAACCTCAGAAGTTTTCCAATTTATGTTTGGATCATTTAAATGGTTGTCACTTGTTTCGTGCTCTGTAGAGGAATCTGCTAAAGCTGTCCGGTAAATGACGTTGAAAACTTCATTTACAACAAAGGTGGTTATAAACTTGACTTACACTCTCCCACGAATAGTATGTACTAATATATTCTACAAAATAGCTAACAGTGACTCACATTGACATCAATAAAGCAAATATTTATTTGTATAGATGAGGTATATAACAAATAAATACTTAGCAAATAGAAATAGCAATAAACAAAAGTTTATAGCTATCAAACCAAAATTATTTTAGTCACAGTGAGCTATTTTTAGTATTGATTTTATTTGTTGATTGTCTAAACTATTACCTCGGGGTCACGTAGTACATACACACGATATTCCATTGTATATATTTTATTTATAAGAAAAATATAATAGTTACGTGCGAACGTGGTAATTTACGTTCGCCGTGTGGTCCCGGCATAGAATGGGCCACCCCATCCTTATCCATGTGTATCGTAAGAAGCGACTCAAGGAACTTAATAAGTGAAGGATGGACAGCGGCGTCCCTCTTAAAACAACACTAAAACCAACCCCCTTACCAAACGTGGCAACTACTAACAAAACCCCCTCATGGGCGAGGCTTAGGTACAGCAGTGCACAGTAACGGCTGATATCATAATCATCATTTACCATAATATACACATAAATGTATGCGTTATTAATTACCTTCATAAAAATTCGATTTATTTATTGATATATGTAACTACAACTGTTTCACCTGTGTCAACTATAGATACAATCATAAGAGATAAAAAAAATTAAAAAGTATAATGCTGCACACTGCGATGTCGAATTTTTATATTTACCATATAATTACATGGTAAACATATTTATAGCAAAAAAAGTAAAATTATGGTCTTTTGAATTAATAATTATTTTAAATTACTAGCTTGCAATATCGTTCAAAAGAGAAATTTTTATATTTTCCCATGGAGTTGATTGACCATACACCACAGTGAAAAGTATCCTAAATTTTGATCTAGGCAAGCTATTACCATACTAAATTTTATTAAAATCCGTCTAGTAGTTTTTACTTAATACTTACATACAGTGTTAATTAAGAAAGATTTTTACAAGATCAAGAGAATAAATTATAGGTTATAGAGTTATAACACTATAGTTCTCAGGAAAGGTGACGAACAAAGGGTACAATGGTCATTACAGTTCTGTAATATTTACGGGGCCGTTCAATGGGCGGGCCGTCAGTTTGTTTGTTATTCTAAGTTGCACAAACAACTTAGTGGTAACTATAGAGGAAGTAGTAATAGACCATAAAAGTTAGACAGTTCAGCATTATTACCTGATAATGCACGTGCAAAGGACTCCTCCGCTGTATCTCCCGAATGTCTTTCATCCAGCTCTCCCCGCAGTAACTCGGCTTCGTCGCGTAACCGTACGCCTTTGCGTTGTATGACATCCAAAAGCGGCCAGAGCTCATCCTCAAGAGGCCGCGTTCTGGACGCCGACGCCGAGGCCGAAGCCGAGGATGAGTGGGCGTCTTTTCCACAAGACGTTTCTGTGCTAAAGCCGGAGTCCTGCACAGATGGCTGAGGCTTTGTCCGCGTAGTGTCCCCACTTCCTCCGGCGAGTTTCCGGCGTACTCGCACGCCTGGCTCCCAGTCACGGCGCGTGCCACTCGCGGGCGTTGACGGCGCCATCTTCGAGCGCAGGTTTGGGAATGTCTCGATGACGAGGTCGCGAAACTCGAGCAATGCGCCGACCTCATTCTGGAGTTCCTACCCGTGATAAGTAAATCTTAATATCTATAAATACATAATATTTAATTACATAGACTGACATTTAAATCATGAACTTTCTTATTTCGATTTCACATTAAGTAATATATAGCCGTTATTCATTACGCCGTTAGAAGAAGGGACAATCTTAAATGTGTTGAAGGAATTGAAGTCAGTAGGTAATTCAGGATCTTTCTTAGTAACATACTTTAAGAAGTTTCTGTGTTCATCAAAAGATTATGGTATACTGAAATCATTATGATCATAGTAATCAAGGAATACGAACCTGTAGAGCGACGAGGGACTTAGCCTGCTCCGATATGAGGTAATGGAAGGGTCCGGGCGGCGAGCGCAATTGGATGCACTCCATGCCAGAGCCGCCCGAGCCCCCACTGGCACTGTCTGCACCGCCCGTCTGTAAAGAAAAGAAGACCAATATCATCCACTGCTATTAACAAAATATTAAATGTCAATTTGAATTAGTTTTATACACCTGGAAATGGCAAACAAACTGACGACCTACCAGAACGAAATCTGGTAAGGGTCACCTATAGATTTAGAATAAAATCTAGAACACGATCAATTAATGTGCCAAATTTCGTTCAAATCCATTCAGTCGTTTGGCGTGATTCATTAACAATCATCCAAACATCTTTACTAACTCCCATTTGTAATAGGAAATATACCGTTACCGGAAGTAGGAAAGTGAAGCTAAGTATCTATTGAGCACGGTCCATAATCTAATTTTTTAAGGCGGCTGCAAATGTATAAACAGTCATGAAGTTCAATTTGCTAGATTCAATACAAAATTACTGTTTACATTGCTGTCAGTTCAAAGTGCGGAACGCCCCGTTACGTAAATAGTAAAAGGCAGTGTTGTTTGACCACTGAAAATTGAATACATAATTTATTTACACTAGAACTTTTAGAATAAAAATACCTAGGTTTTACTTCGTCGCATAATAAAAAAAAAATGACGCAGAATTTGAAAATAAAGATGTCAGTCGAATTTGAACAACATAGTTTTGGATAGCATTGTAATGTATTCATAACATACATTGCATACTAGTGGTCCGGCCCGACCTTGCACGGATAAATAGAAATGTTGGGAATAATAGATAGTGTATGTTACTCACTGATAATGTAGCTAAAGGTGTAAGAATTTGAAAAATTGGTCGAGTACTTTTGGAGTTTATCCAATATAAACAAACAATTAAATGTTTTCTCTCTATAATATTAGTATAGATGTGAATAATGTGTTCGATTATGGTGAAATAAAACATATTAGAAAATAATCGAGTACGTGAGTTGATTTCAATACAAAAAAAGAAAATAGACATGAATTTATGTTTATCACTAAATTAGATACAAGCAGATCCAAAGAGGAAAACAAAAATAATGTCGTTGTACAGCGTAAAATTGAGGTATGGTTGAGTGCGCGCGTCCGGGCGGCCTCACTTCCTTCGCGACCATTGTAGTGCTGTTGCATTATAACAAATCTATTGCTAAATACTTTTAAAAGCGTACAATAGTTTTATAAATCATAAATGAAATATTTAATATATACATTGAAATATTAGGTATGTTTTATAAGGCATAAAATCTTGCAAGTTTTTTGTAATGTCAGAATTTGCGAGATGGTTTTTGATCCCACTAGATCCAGGTTCTTCTAAGCACAAATATAAAATAATCTGAGACTATAATATGGCAAACCTGATACCTGCACACACTGTGCAGCTGTGTTTGGTCAGGAGGCTCAATGTTTTTATTTCTTTTGGAGTGGTCAACATAACATGTTTTTCAACATAGATGTATATGCAAATGTCATACAAATGTAATAATTTAAATGTATAACTTACATTGTTTGAATTGTTTGAAATTGTATGAATCTTTCTATCGACGAGGTACAAAGTCAGGTTACAATGATAATTTTTTTAAATGGTTTAAATTGGCAAACAAGCTGACAGCCCACTTGATGGAAAGTAGTAAACACCATCTATATAACACATCCTACACAATAACACTGTGCCTATAGATATGAAATAAAACACAGAGTTCTCATGCGTTACCATGAATGAAGAGTAGGGTGTTATGCCTTTGTAATTCCGTACCCAGTTATTTCACTGCCATATTGAAACATACATTTGACTAAATAATAAATTTCAAATAATTGCTCTAGTGTTAGTCTGAAACGTTTTAAAAATAACATTTCACATTGAGATATTACAATAAACGCCATCTGGTCCGAACGCAACAGTTAATTTCACTTGTAAATTGGAAATCACTGGTTACCGGCACGATTGAGCTATAACGTTTACATTGGCCGCATTAAAATTGTTAGTTGTTTTGCTGGCGGTTTCTCAAATAACTGGCAGTTTAAGTCGATCGTTTGTTTGAAATAAAGTTCTCGTTTCGAATAAGGATAATATTGCTATAATAAAACTTAAAAGATCGACTTTCAGTTTCGACTTTGAGTTTAACAAGGTGAAGTTACCTAAAGTTTTATGTACCTCTAGAACTTGAATAAGGTGTCTTTATTTTAGAAGAGAATAAACGTGTAATTATTTGCATGAATAATTTATAAACAAATTATATATGTATAATTAAATGCAAGTTTAAATTTTTTATGACTTAATTGTATATAAATGGTAAAGATTGTAGAGTATTTAAATAAATTAGGTAGACTGAAAACTGTAATCTGTTTTGTATAATACGTTAGTTATTTCTCATTGTACGTCATCAAATAACATTATTATCTAGGTAGGTAGTTCAGTTTAAAAAAACATACTTTAAAATACAAATACAAACCGAGAGCATCGAGTTATTACAGATAAAATCTATTAATGATAATATAAAATATAAATAATGCTGTGTCTGCTGTGATTTAGTCATTGTGTGCTGTGTTTGTGAGCTGTGTGATTTTTTAGGAAGTAGGCAAAAATACTTTTTACCCCAGTCCAATTCTGTTCCCGTGGTATAATCAGACGAGATATAATCAAATATTAAACAAAGATAACCTACAAACACATTCATTTTTCAAAGAATACCTGAATATAATTTAATGTGAGAATTATTAATCACCGAAACAGCCTTCCAATTCGAAACATTCGTGCAAAACAAATAAAATTCTATCTAACATTTCTTCAATTAGTATAATATTTATCAGTTTTTATTTTAACCATTAAATGGCTTAATTCAGAGCTATTCTAATCGATGTATCTTTGTTTATTTATACCACTGAGGTGACAAACAAGCATACGGCCCACCTGATGGTAAGCGGTTACTGTAGCCTATGAACTCCTGCAATACCAGGGGTATTATGCGCGCCTATTATTATTATTAATTATGATTAATTTCCTTAATCATAAATAGATACATTCTTCAATCGACTTCAAAAAGAAGGAGTATTCTCAATACAGTTGTATTTTTTTTTTGTTTGATACCTCATAACTTCCTTCCACACCTAGACGTCTTTGTCTGAACCAGTCCAGGGTACTGAAGCTTCCCAGCTGTAAAACCCATTTTATGGGTAACTCATTTGCATATCGTGCTGTACAGCTGTGGAATAAACTTCCCGTGAATATTCAGAATAGCCCGTCTAGCAGTTCCTTCAAAAAAAGATTAAAATCATTTTATCTTTCCAATTTAATTTAAATATAAAAATGATTAGAAAACTGTCATCATTGTGTTCTCTTGTATCTGATATTTATATGTTGTATTTAACGTGTGTATGTATGTGTGTATATGTATGTGTATGTGTATATGTATATATATGTGTATGTGTATGTATGTATATATGTGAATGCATGTGTGTATATATATAATTATTTATAATTTATGTAAATATTTATTTAAATTTCTGTCTTGCACTACTACTGCCCACTCACTACTTCCTATGCCACTGCGTTAGGTTGACTGGAAGAAATCTCTTTTAGAGATAAGTTCGCCTTTGCTAACATTGTTATTAACTTATTGTTGTTACTGTATGTTTTTGTGCAATAAAGAATATATATATATATATATATATATATATATATATATATATATATATATATATATATATATATATATATATATAACTCCGTTACTTTTAACCCGATTTGGAAAAATCTTTTTTTTTTATCTAAATACTTACAAATTGGTTCTATAGAAATTTTATCAAAATCGGTTAAGTTACTTTTTAGATCAAAATAACTGATTTTGTCACAACTGAAATCGGTTTTTTTTTGTGGGACACAACCTTTAATTATAACTGTAAAAATACCATTTTGCCAATACTTCAGAGTTTAGATGTCGCAATAGATATGCAATGCGGAAGTGAGTTATATCAGAGGAGATCTAGACTAGCTAAACTGAATTGATTATACTTTAGATTATCTAAAGGAGAAGTGAAAAGTCATTGAAATAGACAGGTTTATTTAGAATCAGGAAGTAGATGAAACAAGAAAAATGAGATTAGATAACGTACAAGTAAATTCTTCGTATAGTGACGTTGAAAAAATACAATTTGCCATCACTGTATTTAAACTTAGAATGTTCCTGAAGAGGCCTGAATAGAGGAAGTGCCAGAAAGGAAAATTCTAAATAAAACACTTAGCTACTACGTTAATAGTAGGTTAATATCTGTCGTATGGGGAGTCCATTACTCAACAGTATGACGTCATTAATCTATGATCACAATAGAAGTCCTTCGGATCATCTTTATTACGAATACCCGTTGTATTACTGCATTGCATTATAGTGTACGGTTCTCTTTTCCTAAGAGGATAATGCAGTCCCTATTACCACGTTCGTTAGGCGGCTTAGCTCAGCGAGAGTTTTCTTCTCTTGCACAGAATGCGCTTAATTCCTTTATATATATATATATATATATATATATATATATATATATATATATAAATATATATATATATATATATATATATATATATATATATATATATATATGTGTATATATGTATATAATCACGGAATGATTTGTTATTATAATAGTAATATGTAACAAAATATATGCTGAATAAATGGGCAAAAGTTACTGGCAAAAATTGGGACGGTCGCAAAAAATTCATAACTTTGCAGCATCTAGGAATGGACGGATACTCCGAATGCAGGCGACTACTCCACATCGCATTAGACAAGTTCAATTTCGTGAATTTATAATCAACATTCCCTAGTTGGAGATGCACTACAAATAGAATTAGACATATAAATGACACTTACATGCACACTTATAAATATGTCTTGCGTGCGACACATTGATGTTTGACTTTCGTACACTGATTGATAATAACTCGAACTCATAGGAATTAATTAAATCAAAAGCGAACGAAAAATTATAGACATTTTAACATAAATATATTAGAAGTATTTATTTCACTCTATCACGACGTCACAATTAAATAAATTTAATAGATA